ACTGAGCATCATGATGACAACTGGGCCTCCATCAGGATTGTGCCAGTGAAGAAACAGGCTGGACTCCAGAAAGGAAACTCAACACATGCAGTCAGAAAAGTAGTTCAGGAAGAAGCAAGACAGTGCCGGGACGATGTAGACCACCCTTCCCCAACCTGGTGCCCGCCCAAATATGTGAAGATTGCAACTTTCCAATATAGTCGATCCAACACATCTTAGGAGAACCACAGTGAGAGAGGTGAGTTTGTCCTAATCATGAGAAAGACCAAGGAGCAAAGCCATCTTTGGTCAATCAGAGAAAGCCGTTGCTGCTTGATGACCTGAAAGACACTCTAACTGCTCCTGGTGACCTCCTTCAGTTTTACTGCTTAAGCATGGTATCATTTGGAAAAGCAAAATTTAGCATGTTTCTGCCTGCAACTGGCAGAGAAAGTTTACAGAATTTCCTGCTTCAGTTTTTTCCTGGGGAAAACCAAAACACCTGAAAACATTTCTTCAAACAGCCAGAAATAACTGAATTCAAATATTTGATGGGAAGGAGGCAGTTGGTAGAATTGTTTTTATTGGGATACTTGTAAAATCTAAAATCTGACAATTCAATAGCATATACCTGTTTTACATTTATTTGATCTTAAGGATCAAAATGAAGGCACTGCTATTGTTTACCATGGTGGAAGAGCTACATGAGTAACTGTATGTGCTTCCTAAGCAAGGTACAACTCTGATTTTAAATTTACTAATTCCAGTTCTTCAGCTGACTTATAGTATTACAATTATTATTAAATTACATTTGTATCCCAACTTCCTTTTGCAAGGAACCTAAGCCGGCTGACAGTGTTCTCCTCTCCATTTCTATCCTATTACCAACCCTGTGAAGTAGGTTAAACAGAGAATCAGGGATTGGCTCAAACTCATCCAGTGGATCTCATGACCAAATGAAGCCCAGAACCCAAATCTCCCAGTCTCAGCCAGCAGGCCACATTGACTCTCAGTGGTGTTTATTCACTATGTTACCAATACAGTGTTGTTATAAATCAGTGGAAAGCTTTCCATGGAAAAATATACTAGTGGGTATTTTCTCCTGAAAAATTTCCACCCTGCATCACTGCCAACTGGAACGTCTGAGCCGTGTTTAAATTTGGCTCTTGCACCATGTGGATGGCATCAACATACAGCAAGCAGTTCAGCTGCTCCTGTGGAACAAACAGCCAGTTGAACGCAGCCCATGGGAGTCAGACCAAGTACCAAGCAGTCCTATAACTGCTGCACATTAGAAGGAGTTCCAGGCGTGAGAAATGACTAACTGAACCACAGTGACAGCAAAGCTATCTCTCTGTTGCAGTACTGCCTGCAAGCCTGGACATGCTTATTTCATGCACAACTCAGAAAAGGTACAAAACACTCTAAAGAGTGACAAACTAAAACACCGTGCAGATGCCAATTCATATGATGCAAGTCTGAAGAAGCTGGGAATATGTACCTCAAGGAAAGACAGAGCAGGCAGGGACACACTTCCAAAAACAGTCCAAAATGATAAAGCCTATTATACAGGAGATTTGTAACTGGATCATCTCCCAAAGTATTCATTTTAATGTAAAAGCAGTTTCTTTCTAACTGGAAAAGCATCTGCAGGGCTCGGTGGGAGAAATGGACAGGAAGAACCCTCTCTTTCCCTCCTTGGTACTTTCCTATCTAAATGCCTTTTGCATTGTAACTCTGGTTTGAAACTGCTTCAGCATCTCTTTGGATATTGCCAAGTCGATGCTATTGAGAGCACAGAAAGGAGTTCTGTGATTTGGTGTCAGAGGTGCCGTTCCGCAAGCACCCCACTGAAGGAGGAGGAGGCCCGAGAGACCTGCTTCATACCATGAGAACGTAAGAAGACTCTCTGCAGAGCAGATTCTAAGGCTGGCCTAGTGGGCGTCTATTCCCACGCTGGCCGGCCACCTCCCTCTGCAAAGCCTACAAGCAGCACAGAGGTCAGCCCAGTTTCCAGTTGCCTTCAGGACTGGCAGCCAGGGACAGCCGTCTCGTCAACAGGTTGGGTTGTCTCCTTTTAAAGCCTTCCAAACTGGTGGGCAAACTACATCTGGTGTGAGCAAATTCCATCGCTTAGCTAGGCACTGTACCCCCTTTCATCAGCCTCAGATCTCCAACCATTCAGCTTGATGCAATGACCCCAGGTTCCAACACTATGAAAGAGAGAGAAGAAAGCCTCTTTCCCTATCTGCTTTCGCCACGCGAACCACAGTTAGTTACGCCTAAGCCGCGTCCTCCCACCTCTTTCTCACCACTTCTCTGCAGCGCTCTAGCCTTGCCTCATAGGGGAGTTGCCCCCAGACCAGTCCCGTGACCATTTGAGTTGCACAAGATGGGAAGGGGCCACAGCTCAGTCATGGAGCATCTACTGGGCATGTAGAAAGTCTCCAGCATTGCCAATCCAAAGGCTCAGGGATGGGAAAAACTCTGGAGACAGAGTAGCTACCAATCGGAGTAGCTAAAACTGGGTGAGGTGGATAAACGCTTGGCATAAAGCAATCTGCATGTAGCTCTCTATCGCCACTTCCCCTGAACCGGATCGCTCTGCAGCTGAATCAGCACAAGCGACAGCGGCTTCTGCCAGTTCTGACCAGATGCAAATCCGCAGGAAAACCTGAGCCAGCTTCCTCTCTGCTAAGCACTGGAAGCCTAGCTCCGAGCCCAGCAGGCAGTCTGCCTGGCCATGCAGCACCACGGCCTCAATGCATGTCTTTTTCATGCTGGAATCAGCTTGCAGCATGGCAAGAAAGCAACAGAGGGAAACGGGGAGAGGAGCAACTTGTCCTCTGCCTTAACCAGTCTTGCTCCTTTGCACAAGCGCTTGCCATAACAACCCCAGAAAGCACATCCACACCATCGGTGCAAAACTCACTCAGGAGGCCCACTCAGAAGAAAGAGCAGGAGCATCCTCCAGCACAGCAAGGGGAATGAATTGCTACGTTTGGGAGTAAATTGCCATCTAAAGAGTCCTTCGCATAAGTCCAGAGTCTAACTGCTGCACTGGGAGAAATGCAAGAAAAATAAGCACTGCCTTTTCTAGTAATTCTTCAGGAATGCAACCTGTGAAAGTGACTAGCACAATTTGTAAACCGGACATGATGACCCAATGCAACATGTGTTTCCTGTGTGCCAAACTCACTGTGTTCCCACAGATCTGCCCCTCGCTGTAGTCTTTGCATGGGAGAGGCTGCAAAGGTCTCTGTTGCTAGCTGAGTCTATGCCAAGTACCATACAAGAAGCTACATATCGTTTCCACAACTGACTGATGTTACCATCTGCTCTAAATCATTCCATCAATGCAGTATTTCGAAGAACCCAGTACTCCTGCTACAGGGTAAGCTTCTCTGGTAAATAATGGCAGTGGTGGACTAGTGGTTAGAGTACTGGGCTACATCTGCCTACACCACTCTGCACAGTGGGTAGCTTTCAGAGTATCTCACAGGGCTGTTAGGCCAAAACAGCTGAGGAGGAGAATCGAGGCTTCCTTTGAAGCAAACAAATAAATTAAAAGCAAGCAAGGGTCACAGCCAAATCTCTTCATTTCCCACTGGTTCCCAAATAGCTCCTCTGGAGAATTGGAAGCTGCCACCCTAATAAGCTTTTCTTGTGGAGCCTCAAAGCACTGGCATAAGCAAGAGCCTTTTTTGCATTTTCGTCCTAAGAGTGAAACCAAAAGGGTTGTCCACTGCAAAAGAAGGGGTCGGCGTGAGCAGTGGCTCAGAAGAACAGGCATTCTGCATGCAGAGGGCCCCAGGTTTGATCCCGGCCTCTTCAGGAAGAGCTACAGGAAACTTCTGCCTCCCAGTCAGCCTCAATAATACTGGATCAGGCAAACAAAGGGACTGGACAAAGCTAGTTTCTGTTTCTTCGACGCCGAATTCACGCTGCTGAGACTCGGTGTGGTGCAGTGCTTAGCGGGGCGGAAGTGGGACTCAGAAGATGCGGGTTCTAGTCTCCACTCAGCTACGAACCTCAGTGAGCAACTCTGGGCCAGCCACAGACTCCCGTGGTAGCCTACCTCATAGGGCTGTTGTTGAATAAACCGGACAGGAGGAGAACCTTGTAAGCTACCCCTGGTTCCTTGCAAGAGGAAGAAAAGTGGGGGATAAATGATGATAATGAGATAATGCACGGAGGAGGATGCCCGCCTCTCAGCCACCCTGCACGGCACCAAGACAAGCAGGAAAGAGCAGTGAATTTCCCAGCAAGAAGCTCTGAGCGTTACTCATCGTTCACAGGCAATCCTGTCCACCGGCTGCCACAGATGCCCTGGCGCTTCGCACACTGCAGCTCCGACATCAAATCACGGGACTCCTTTCCATGATCTCGATAGCACTGACCTGACAGCATGCAAAGAGCCCAAGTCTCACAGGCGCTGCAACCCCGCTGCAACCCCGCGCAAACTTCAACAGAGCCGAGCCTTATGATGCTCCGGAGGAGGGGTGCCTCTCGAGCAAGCGCACCTGGGGCTGCAGCCTCGAGCATCCCTCGGGGAAACAGCTAGAAACTCCAGGTCCGCCTGGAGCGATTGCTTGTGGGTTCCAATGGTTTCCTCCAACGCGCCACTCGCTGCACTATTTCCATAAATTAGCATGGGCCCGAGAGCCGGCATGACGTAGCGCTTGGAGCACGGGACCGGATTTGGGAGATCCGCTCGGCAGTGAAGCTCCTGGGGTGGCTTTGGGCCAGTCAATGACTTTCGCCCCAACCTACCCCTAAGGGTTGTTGTGAGAATAAATGGGGGGGGGAGTAAGCCGCCTTAGAAGCGGGAGGGGGGAAAGGCTGGGTAAACGAAACGGGCACATGCAGGAAGGAGGTCCGGTGGTAATAAGCCGCCCATCGCTGGAGGCGCGAGCGGAGGGAAGGCGGCGAGCGCATAGTCTTCCCGCGGCCGCGAGCGAGCGAGCGAGAAGCGAGCGGCCGCGCCTCCCGCGCCCCCCCCCCCGCGAGCCGCCCGTCACCTCGGCCTTGGGCCTGTTCTGCAGCAGGTGCTCCAGGTACAGGTCGGAGAGCGCCGTCCTCATGCTGCTCACGCTGTCGCTCCGGCCCGACTTGAGCGTCATGGTGGCGCCGGGTCAGCCGCAGGCTCGACGCCCCCGGCCGGTGCGGTGCGGCGCGGCGCGGCGCGGCTCGGCGGCGCGCTTCCCGCAGGCGTCGGGTCCGCCGGTCGGAGCAGGACGCGTCCCCGCCGCAGCCACCGGCGCGGCGCCCGAGCAGCCCCTTCGCGTGCGCCGCCCGCGGAGTCCCGCAGAGAAAGGGCCGGGGAGGCGCCCGCCGTCGGAGAAGAGACCGGGGGGAGGGCGGGAGGGCTGTCCGGGCTGGGCCCGCCCGCCGGGTGTGGCCAAGGAGGGAGCGCCGCTCCTGCCCGCCCGGTTGCAGGCGCCGACCTGGCCGGCGAGCGCGGCAGGACGCGCGGCTGGCTGGCCGGCCTCGGCGAGCCTTCCCGCCCGCTGCGTGATGCGCGCCGCCCGCGCCTGCGAAAGCGCCGCCCGTGCCTGCGAAAGGGGTCCCCCCGCGGCCGCTGGGCCCTAGAAAACGGCCGCCTCCGCTGCGGAGACGCGACCTCGCCGCCGCTGGCGCCGCCCGCGCACCATCCCCGGCTGCGCGCGATGCTCGGGAAAGCGGCGCCCCCGCGCCTCGCCAGTCCCCGGGCGGCGGGGGCGCGGATGAGCCGGGGCTGCGGCGGATGGCGAGCCCTTGAGAGGCCGCGCGGTGGGGCTGCCGCAAAAAGCATCTGCGCGGCCCGAGTTCGCCCAGGCACAGAGGCCGTGTGTTTCCCGGGCGCATCGCAGCCCTCCTGATCTGGGCCATCGGAGGACGCCCTGCGAAGTGCTTCCCAAAATACAGTGCCAAGGAAAACCAGGGCACGCTCGCTGCGCGCAATCACGTTCCCGAAGCCAGAGAAAGAAACCCCGGGCTTATTCACACGGGGCGCTCATTCCGCCTTCTCGGTGGGAGTGAAGAGCGCAGAGACGTGCTGGGTTTTGTTTTGTTTTTTAAGTTTCGGTTCACACGTGCAGGCATCTCCGTGAAATTTTCCAGACTTGAGGGCCAATTTGAGACTCGATAGCTGGTGGGGTTGTATTTATGTGGAAATGGAGACTGATGCATAAACACACCGTCATGTGCAACTGCCAGGTGACAGATCCGTATGGGTGAACTGAGCTCTGTTTTCAAGAAAATGCTTATGAGATGCCAGGGCTCTCACCCAAGGCCGGTGCGCCCAGCTCTGGGGCTGGATGGCAGACTGTCGTCTCAGCAATGCGCTCAGCAGCTGAAACTAAAACCAGAACCACTTCAGATGTCAAGTATGTGACCAGGACTGTAGGAACATGTTGTTGTAGACCCGAGAGAATCACAGTATGTGTTACCATATTCAACAAAAGCAGGAAAGAGACAGGAGCAAATTCAACGTGGCAGGAAGTTTTGTGGCGTACGGCACACATCAGATGCATGGGCTGTTTAGTGCAGCTGGATTCACACAGTCCCTGATTCAACAACAGCCTGTGCTTCAGTGGCAACCCACACTCAGTCTAGTTGTCTATGTTATATGGACCCAGAGAGTCACAGCAACACCTGGAAGGATTTTTGTGGCTTGTACTCAGAAGCTCCAAAGTTGTAGGAGAGAATGAGTTACATCGTGATAAGGAAGACCTATTTTCTTATGCTTTGGAACTGACATTAAGGACAACTGTCTACGCCAGAATTGTGCCATATAAAATAGCAATATTTTATTTAGCTGTTTATTTTTGCATTTTATAAGTTGCCAAACAACTCAAATGAGCTCCCCAGGTGGCATACAACCAATGGTTCAAACTATCATTAAAACTAAACTGCTAATGACAATACAAACGTAAACCAGGTGATTTATTCAAGAATAATGACTGTGGTGGTTTGTTTTCTTCTGCACAGTCAGAAAAGGCAATATAGCCATCCAAGACTTTGGATGAAGTCAAATGAAGACGTTGGCTCAACTACCTGATGAAGTTGAGCCATCCTGCCTGGTAAAAGAGGACCTCTGGAATATTCAGGTGGATAGTAGGAAAATGCTAATAGTCCTCTTCAATCCAGAAGAATTCTAGGAAAGAAAAAGATACAGGAGAAACAGTTCACTCGATTCAGAGAGACGTCATAATATCACTATTTTTTGCTTTCTGGCTTTGTCCAGCCGTAATGCTGCTGTGTTGGAAACAACCACATCTATTTGATTTCTGCTGAGCTTGTTATTCAAAAGCACAACAGCATTTAAATGCCTTTGGAATTTCCTAGTACAGTTCCTAGTGATGTGTGTGGAATGAGGCCTATGAGCACAGGTGCCGCCATGCAGAAAATAGGACAGGGGAGCAGAATCCCAGGTGGGGGTCCCAGTACACCCTCTCACTCTTCCCCCAGCCACTTATGGTCAAAATATGTTGGGGGGTTTTTTCCCCTACCCTTTTGCTTGGCCCTTTGGGCACCTTGAGACTGACCGGGGAGAGTGGCTTTCTTTTTCCGTGAAATGAAATTTTACAGTTTGAGTATCAAACGAGTCCAAATATTCTTTTCATGAAATGCTACATCCCTGACCAACATGAAGGACCCCTTTGGAACATGCAGAATGGATGGCAGGTTAATGCTTCAGCCTCCATGACCCTAATAAGACCTTTATTTCTTTTTCTTTTGTGTCCAACCCAATAACTTGGAAGAAGAGGGGTGTCATAGGGTTTCTCTATTAAAATCTAGTAAGCTGTCCAGAAGGAAATTTCGCTGACTTCCAATGTTCCACTGAGGTGATATTGTATTTTTGTGTGCAAGCTGCAAATAGAATAGATTCAAAACTGCAGCAAAGAAGTGGGAACTTCAGCCAGAATAGTACAAATGTATACTCAGAAGAACAGAAACTTATGTTCTTTCTTTAAACCAGCCCCCTCCAAACCACATGGTGGTAAAATCAGAACTTGTGACACTGGTTTAAAATTCCATTTTATCTGGCACTTCAGCTGAGAGCAAATTATGATCCACAACCTTGTGTACTAAGAAAAAGAAGACTTTTCTATCTGTTCAGGAAAGCAGACTTCTCAAGTACTGGCCTGATAGTTCATGACTACTACTGATGTTTCAAAATCAGTACAGAAAACATTTCGGTCAGCCACATCCTCAAGTTACCAAGATGCCCTGGCATGTTTTGACACCAGATCTGTTTTGCCTTGCTACCACTGTGGGGTCTTTATTGGGTTATATTTCACAATGGACACACTTTGTGTATGCTCCACCGTGCCTGAAAATGTGCTATTTAAAGCTTGCCACTGAAAAGGAGAGCTTGCTTAACACCCCCTCCCTCTGGTTGCGCAAGGGCGGGACAGTCCAAACGAGAAAGGTCAGGCCAGGGCATCTTCAGACATTCGAGTTGTTTTCTGTCCGGCTCTAAGAAAACAAAGTCTGTGTCTGGGAGTTGTACTAGCAGTGAGGTTGTTCAGGGTACCATCGCAGCAAGACTTCAGGGCAAATGTCCAGGCTCCCAATAAACAACTAGGGCCCTCGAATGCAGCAGGAGTTGCTCACCCCGTTTCAAAGTAAGGATTAACTACCCCTGCCCTCAAATAGGAGCATTAAAGCATTTAACAATTTAAATGATTTAAACCATTTAATTTAAAGGACCTAACAGACTTTCCCAGCCTAGTTCCCTTGAGGAGTATTGGACTACAAGCCCTTCTATCGTCTGTCAGCTGGCTGGGGATGATGGGAGCTGTAGTCAATGCCACTCAAGCGAGCAGGGCTTGGGGAGGACTGACCTAACTACCCCACCGAGACTAGTTGGCTCCTCATCTGTTTATTCCAAAGCTTTAAAAGGAAAGGGGCCATGCCCTAACCCGCACCTTCCCTCCGAAGCCCAAAAATGAGTTCAGTCACTCAGAGATGATTCAGTTCTCTTGCCATTACTTCCAGCAGACATTGCCAGTAAATACATGCCCAGCTGCCTACTCACGTGGCACAGCAGAGGAGCAGCATGATCAGCAAAGCCCCTGGGAAGGCATACAGAGCCGCTCTGGGGAAGGAGTGGTAGGCATGAGACCAAAGATCGTCCAGGTAGTCTGAGAGCCAGGACCGGCGGACTCCTGGAGAGGCGACAGGGCAGAACTGCACAAAGACAAGCGCTTCCTCTGGAAGGGGAAGATCACAGCCCGTGTATGTTCCTGACTAGATGCTGTTGCCCAGGGAGGTGTATTAATATCCCAGGTGGCTTGCGGCTGTGAAGCTAAACCCAGCGCTGGTGCTCGTGGAATTCCTTGTTGCTATCAATCAAGCAATCCTTTATTCCGTATTGACCGGCCAAGTTGTTGCTAACACTTTTTAAACCAACTTGGAGTCTAGACCAGGCAACTGAGAGCTAGAAATATAACGGTGAGCTTCACTCGACTTGCTCAAAAGAGCTGCTTTTTTATTATTTTGCAAGTCATGCCTGGAAATACTTCCACCCCTTTCGGGTATCAGCCCTTCAGCATCTCAGAGTGGCAAAGCCTCTGATTCTTGATCTCATGGACTGAAACTTCAGTCGAACTTGTATAAGGCTCGGGGGTTATTACAGCTCAAGGAGGGGACCCTACGGTTCATGCACCGAGGCTGACGCTGCCATTCCATACGAAATAGGGCATTCTTCCACCGATCCTGATGCACCTGCTCTTTTAGAAACTCACGCTGGATTTTGTGCCCCCGGTCTTCCTCCCGGTTTTGTGGCTTCTCCTGCCGAGAGGGAAGATGCCTCCGGAGCCGCTTCCAGAGCACGCGCCTTTGAAACTTGCAAAGAGTGTCACATGCGTGGGACAGCTTCTCAGTGCTGCCTGGGCTGCAGGCTGTGGGAACTGCCATGCACAGCACCTGGAGGCAGGCCAAGTTTGGCCATGTCAGATCCATGCCTTTCCTAGCTCACAGGGTTATGCTAACGCCCCGGCTGTGCTGCTCCCTCCTTGTGTGTCCTGGGTGGACAAACCCTTAACTTTTCCAGAAGGATCTGCAAAATAGAAGCACATGGGGAGTTCAGGAGGGAGAGGAGATAGAGCGTGTCTCTGCCAGTGTGATGCAGTGGGTATAATATGAGACAAGGATCAGGAAGGCACGATGGCCCTGAAACTGCGAGCCTGCAGTTGGACGCGCGACTGGTGAGACGAGACGCCAGTGTCTCTGGATCACACCGGCCCAGCTGGTCCAGGCTGATCTGATGTGGCTAGCAGCAACCCTTTCCAACCCTGTGATTATTTCCTCTTTTAACTGGGAGCTGTTCTGTTGTCTCACCTGGAAGCTCCCAGCGGGCAGCATCCGAGTTGCTAGTACAGGTTATGTTATGCTCGCCCGGTCAAGCTCTAGAACAAAGCAGATGGTTTTGCAGGAAGACCCATCACGCCAGCAAACCGGATCTCTGTTGCGCGAGGTCACCGACGCTAGCACAGAGGGGGAGCAATCTGTTCTGCCTGGGGGCCAAATTCAGTTCAGAGCTTGCTTTAGAGTTGGAGGGTGGGGGGCTCCGTCAAAACGCAAAAGGGGAAGGGGCAAGCTGTGAGAAAATCTCTATTGACTCTAGTGAGTGTAAAACTCCTACCAGCCGGTAGCAGTGAGTTGGAGAAACTTTGCAACCTTAAAGAAAAAACTTCACCTCTGAGAAAGCACCAAGTGATGTGGGGGGAGGTACAGGTAGGACCAGATTCTTGGTACCAAAGCAGACCTGAGGTGCTGCAGCACAGGTAGTAGTGAAGAGGCAGGTACACAACCCAGGCTGAGTCCGATCTTGGAAATCCCCAACAAGGTTCCACGGTTTACATATGGAACCTGGTGATGTTTATGACTTCACAGTTCCTGATAACAATCTCAGAAGTCTCTCTGTTCTCCTTAACAGCACTGTTTTTGGAGATAGATTTGGTTATGGCAATCTCTCCACTGCCCCACATCACCAACTAGCCTCCCTCCACCCTCCAGAGGCACTGGCCTACAATTCCCAGCATCCCCACCCTTGCCATGCTGGCTGGGAGATTCTGGGAGTTGTAATCCAACACCGCCAGAGGGCACCAGGTAGGGGAAGGTTATTTGCATTGCAATCCTAACTGTCTGCTCAGAAGACAGCACCATTGATTTCAATGGGACTTATTCCCAGGCAAGTGAATCGATGGGGCTGTTTTCTTCCAGATGGGGCTGTTTTCTAGCAGGCTGGCTGTTTAGGTTGTTATTCAGTTGCAAAATCATGCCCAGCTCTTTGAGACCCCATGGACAACATTCCCCCAGGCCCTCCTGTCCTCCACCATCCCCTGGAGTCCACCCAACCCCACACCCACCGCCCCAGTGACCCCATCCAGCCACCTCAACCTCTGCTGTCCCCTTCTCCTTTTGCCTTCAGTTGTTCTCAGCATCAGTGTCTTTTCCAGTGAGTCCTTCCTTCTCATTAGGTGGCCAAAGTATTTGAGCTTCAGCTGTTTAGATTAACTTCCTCAAACTGGAGTTGTAGTCGTAACCTATCTATTTGCAAATTTGTTCTGCTCCTGTATATTTATCATGTGTCCCTTTTCTAATGGCTTTTAATGCTCAACTTTTTTCATTTTGATGGACAGGCTGCAATGGACAAAATAAATCATCCATTTCTCCTCCCTAATAATTTTATGGCTTCTTGCAGGATACCAAGACTCTAAGGAAAATAAGCAGTGGGAGGAGGGGGTATGGCTAATTAATTATTATCCGCTATTAAAGCTGACTGTTCACCACAGGGACTACAGTGTTGGGAAGGCATGAGGTCAAAGGAGGAATCAGTCAAGGAAGGAAAACAAGAGGAGAAGGTACAGATCTTAACAAGACAAGCGCTCTTTAATGCTTTAATTACGCCATGCTGTTCTCAAGCTATGCACACAGAGTTAACTTGGCAAACAACAAATAATGTAAAGAGCTTGGTAACATCCAAGAGGACCTGAATGCCTTCAGCTTCTTCTGATGCAGGGGCAGGGGAAACAATGGCTAAAGTGATGGAATCAGCTCCTTAGGACAAAGGGGCTTGATCAAGTTATCCCTTATCAAGAGAGGGTGGCAGATAAAGGAAGATAGCTCTGTCAACAGCTTTTGGCAGAAATGGCTCACCTTCCCCAACTTGGCGCTTCCCAGAGACCTTGGACTAAAAAGCCCATCCTCCCTGAACATTGCTCATGAAACATGGGAGTTAATAGTGCAACACTTAGGAGAGCATCGGGTTTGATCCTGCTTTTGCACTTGCTTAGGGGTCATTCTGCATCTGAACATCCTCTGTGCAGACACTGGATTAGACTGTCCTGAAGACTCATTGTATAACAAATTATACTGCCTTCATGTATTTCTCTTGTGCTCCTTCCCACATCATCTCCAAGCAATTTACTATCCAGCAGCTTATTTTACACATGGCAACTCCAGAATGAATCCCCCTGATTTCAGTGGGACTTATTTTCAAGTAAGCCTGCTTGGGATTCAGTGCAACAGTGAAGCTTAATGCAGTGTTAATCCACATGCTCATTTTTTAAAAATTGACATAGAAGTTGTAAGGGGACCCCATCAGGAGAGAAACAAGGCATTTCACATAGTATTGTCCAAGTAGAAATACCCGTCCTCAAATTCCTGATTAAACTAAGAGGAAATTTTCCATAGGTGTCAAAAGCTGCTTTCTTTCTGGTGTGGACAGCACCTTTTTTTTTGGAGGGGGGTGGTGTTGTTGGGTGTGTGACAGTAGGCAGGGGTCAGGAACCAACAGCTCTGCAGCTGTTGCTGGACTATGATTCCCATCATCCCTGCCTATTAGTCATAGAGGTTTGGAGTTGTAGTCCAGCAACACCAGGAGGCCTACAGGTATTATTGAATTCTTCCACAGATCCAAATGGATTTGGATTTCTATAAATACAATCTTTATATTAAGCAGCACACTGGCCTTTTCCGAATCAGGGAGATTTTATCCATGAATTCCACCCCACCCCCACCCCCCTCCGCCCCCCCACACACTTTTGGAGGAATTTCTGTTGATTTGTATTTGTATTCAGGCAAATTAGTGCAGGGGAGATGAAATTCTGGTAAAAGGAAATCAAATTCCATCAATGGGCTGATGATGGAAGGAAAGTTGCCTAATAAACAACAACAGACAGATCGGATTTAGCAAAATCTATACCTCAACAGCAGTTTCACAGCTGACGTGAGGGACGTGTTTATTCGCCGCCACCGCCACTGCATGCCCCTTTCTCCCCAGCAATTTCAGTTTTACAACCTAGATACCTGTCAGTCTCAAACACATGACTAACATCATGATTAGTTTGGCTGTACAAATCATGGAGCAGGGCTGGTAAGAGAGGCTGTGTCACTGCTCACGTGATTGTGAGAAAACTCAGCGAGTCTGGCAGGCCCTTCATCACATTCTTCTGTTCTTGTGATCTGTTCCTTAGGTTGAAGACACTTATCAAAAATACATGCATGAGGCTATTTTCAGGTGCGGGTTTTGTTTTGTTGAGTGTCTGTGATAAAAGTGCGTGCCATCGGGTTCTGCTCAAGGTCTTCCACACCCTTGGAAAGTTCACCAGCTACGGGGCAGAAGGCAGCCTTCCTCCAACTAGGCTGTTTGTTGGGTGTTGCATCCCAAAATTTCCATCCTCAGTGCAATGTGGTTGTTCCAGCTGACTGGGTGTATCCTCAAATACTGCGTAAAGAGTGGGAAATCCAGGAAGTTCATCACTGGGCTGGAATGATCTTGATTTCCCTGGAAAACCTGAAAGGAAATGGAAAATATAATGGATGCTTCCCTGGATCTCTAAAACCATGTCCAAGAACCATTCTGGTGCCTGCTGGGATTTCCCACAGACACACTTCACTTCCAGGAACTGCTATGCTCGTTATCCCACAATGCCAGTGTTGACTCCCATTCATTTCCCACATTCCTTTTCAAAAGCACGCGTCACCTCAGGTATAGCTGAGTGCCTTCCGGGTGTCATTGGCCTGCAAGTCCTAGCACTTCAGACCATTGGGCAGGGTGGCTGGGGCTGATAGAAGTTGAAGTCTTGGGGAGCACCAGGTTGGTAATGGCCAATGTATGGGTCAACCTTAAAGTAGGAATGGACAACTTGTAGGACAAAATATCTGCACAGCCACAATTTCCCTCAGTGCCAAATGGCATTGCTGATGGTGGGATATGATGGGAATACCGGGCCAGAACATCGGGAAGGCTGCACATCACAGATCTCTGCCCTAAATACGTGAAACTTTCTTCCCCCAACCACTGCCATCGCAACAGATACAAGGGAATTACACCGAAGTCGCAACTGGCTGAGGTTAAAAAAGTGGGGGCTAGGGGCATAAGGAAAGCCTCTGGCGCCCTGAAGGTGTAGGGCCCCCTTACCAGTGGCACAAGACCCTCTTGCTCTGAAGGATGTCGCTTACCTTCTTCTTCCCATCTTGCAGAACAGGTGACCAGCTCTTGCCATCCGGGCTGCTTGAGAGAGAGAAACTGCTCACAAACATTTTGGTGAAGACAGCCCTTGCGCCTTGGGTCAGCAGCCCAGTCACCCGCATGGTCCTCTTAAAGTCGATCTGAAGCCATTCCTTTTGGCTGTCCACCTGCGGAACACACAGAAGAGCCTCCAGCATGAGCGAGGCCTGTCCCGGTATGGCCTAGCGCCTGCCAGGAGCTCAGTGACAAGCTCTGTTGCTGCTGCCTCAGCCACTGCCACCTGCTGCTTCACCTGCTTCTCACTGGCCCAGAACCATGATGAGAAGATGCAGGGGGTGCCCTGCCTGGACCACCCACAACCTGCCAAGCAAGCAAGGGGCAACAGCGATGGGAAAGAGGCGGCGGCACGGAGGAGCTTACTGCAACGCTTCACTTTGAGGTACGGTGATATATAAACATGTGCAGCAGCTTTTCCTGCCTTCATCCACCCTCATGATCTCCAGATGTGTTAAGACTACAAATTCCAGCATGCACCGGGTTGGGGAAGGTGGCTGCCATTATTTACAGTGCAATCCTATATATGCTGACTTAGCAGCAAGCTCCTACATGGTTCATTAGGCTAATTCCTAGGAAAGTTTTGAACCCATGACCTGGGATTAAGTCCAGTTCAATACAAAGGGGCTTACTTTCAAGTGAACACGCACCGGACTTTGCTGTTAATCCATCAACTAATCAGTTAAACAAGAGAGAGCTATGCGGTAAGAAAAGACCCTGCATTAACAGTCTCATAAAATGAGGCTTTATGAGTACAGAGCAAAGCAATGCTGCTAATTTTCTGGAATTGCTTCTGCCAGCAGCTTACAAAGCAGGAAATGTGAGACTTGATTAACCTTTGCCCTGGTTCAGCAAATCCCTTCCTATGTAATCAAGTGCCCAGTCTGAACTTTGCTTCCCCCACAAACTCACCAAGTGACCTCAGGGGAAGGAAGCAGAGCCTTGCATCCCAGGGCCAAATCCAGCACTCCTGGGTTCCCCAAATGACCATGGCTCCATCGCCTCCCCTTCTTCCCACAACACTTTCCTGCTTTTGGGCACCTCCACTGAAAACCTTGCCCTGTCTTTCCTCTGGTTTAGTAGCCAGCAGGAAGAAGTCTGAACTGAACAGTGTTTGGCCTGATCCTTTTGCTCTTGGTCTCCCCTCTGCTGGAACGTGGCCTCTGAGAATCCTGAATTTGTCCTTTAGGCTGAAGGAGGTGTATTTATTAATGAACTAAATTTGTTTAAAAGCTGCCCATTAGCACCAGGTTCAGTGCCCCAGATCCATGAGATAGGTACAGCCTTACACGGGCTATTTCCAGGGTTCCAATCAAGATAATATGCATGAAACTTTTTGCTTTTTGAAAAGTGCACTCAAAAGTGCTACAGAATCATGTCACACCATCACAGCATGATCACAGTTGGTCTCTGCCCCGGTCGGCACCAGCCAGGGCTGTGTGGAATGGAAAGCCTCATGCTTTCTTCCAAGAGAGCTTGTAGCTCCACATACTGCAAAAACAACGTACCTTTGGTCTCCATGCATTGATTCTCCCGCCCATGTTCAGCCGGGCCAGAAAGGGAGCCCAGCTGGAAAAAACACCGTCGATATAGGAGGAGGCCGAGATCTGTTCATTGGAGATGGCTTCGTTCTCCATTCCCAGTGGCATGCAGCAGCCTAGCAGAAAGCAGTTGGAGACATGGACTTCCCTCTCCCTCATATCCTTTCCTTCCCCACCTCCGTTTCTGCTGAGGGCCAGCACCAAGAGGGGGCATGGTCAGGTACCTGCTGAGCAAGCACCACCCCTCCGAAGCTGCTGCTGAGAAGGTGGGGTTGCTGAGGGAAGGACCCAGACACCCCAAAGGTCCTTAGAAACCTGGAGTCAGCTCCTACGTCCCTGGTGCTGGCCCTCTGCTCCCTGATCAGGTTCACCTGTTTTCTCCTCACATGACAGGTGCCAACTCTTTTTTGCCAACTGGTCTTGTGAGACCAAGCTGGCCAAATAGGCCCTGTTTTGGAGAAGCTGTAAACTGATTTCTAGCACGTTCCTCTCTGTGTTATAAAGTTAGACAGGGCTCACCTGAACACCACCACCTGTGAGGGACAAAAGGTGCCTCCAGGTTGCAACCCTATGCACACATACCTGGAGGCAGCCCTGCTGAATACAGCAGCACTTCCTTGCTAAGAAACATGCATAGGGTTGTGGTGTTAAAGCTACACTCAACAGTTGTTCAGAACAACTAGTTAAAAATATAACTAGCTCAGCCGTGCGGCCAACTGGGTCAGTCACAGACTCTCAGCCCAAAGAACCCCACAGGGTGGTTGCTGTGGGGATAAGATGGAGAGCCACAAGGGGCGAATGATGCAAGCCACTTGGGATTGTATAAAGGAAAAAGGCAGGGCATAACTTTAATAAATAAATACAACTCTCTTCAGCAGTGCAGAAGATACTTATTTCTTTTATAGCTGAAGAGCATGGGAGGCCGCTAAACACATTTTTGCAAACACACTTGGAAAAAGGGGTACACTTCTGTTCCCTGCATCTCAGAACTATTGTCAGGCAGGAAAGATCAACCCAAATGATTGAGGCGAAGTGACTCCCCTCTGAGAGAGAATGGAACTGTGGGAGGCTTCATAGCTTAGAAAGGAAGGGGAGACATGATGAATGTGCTTAGAATTAAGCATGGTGCAGAGGAAGCGGGCACCAAATCAATTACTGCTCCCTCATTCCTTTCTGTCTGTTGCTCCAGGGGCTGGACTAGAACCAGTGGATAGAGACTGCAAGGAAGTGGGCTTGGGCTAAATGTTAGGAGAAACTTCCTCATAGTAAAAGCTGTGCAACAGCCAAACCACCTCAGGGGATGGCTGGCTTTCCTTTGCTGAAGGTCTGTGCACAGAGACTGGCTGGCAATCCACCAGGGATGCTGTAGCTGCGCTGAACAGAGGGTTGGGCTACGTGACCTCCAGCGTCCCTTCCAACTCTATCTTGCTACGATGTTTATGAATGGAGAAGACAAAAGGCCTCATTGCCATACTGTTCAGGTCGCAGCCGATGAGCTCCATGCGCAGGGTGTTGCGGATGCTGAAATGCGTTGGGTGAAGGCGGATGTAGCGAGCCACCATGGGAGGGTTGAAGGTATTGTCTTTCACGCCTGCTGCATCCACGTTCCCAAAGAATATCTGTATGCAAGGAGAGAGAAGCAGGCGATTTACATCACTGCATCCACAGAAAAGTGGGGCCCTCAACTGTTCGGACCCGTGGGCACAATTAGAACTTGGTGCAAACATTGGGCTGATCCCACAAAATGGGGAGTGGCAGGCACAAGACCCTCTTTTCCCAGAGGGAGAACTACTGGGATAAAACAGAAAGCAGCTTGTCTCAGAACCTAATAAAGGGAGCAATGGGGTTTTTGCACCAACACACAGAACACAGCGAAATACAGCATGCAGCTTTTTCAGCCTGTCTGCCCCCCAGTGCCAAATCAGGATCATCGAACAGTAGAGTTGGAAGGGGCCAGAAAGCCATGGGTGTAACCCCCTGCTCTCGCTGGGCACTAAGTTACACCATCCTGTTGCATTCAGAAGTGTATGTAAAAGAGAAGTCTTTGCAAATATAATGGGAAGCCTGTGGGATGCCAAGAAAAGTGTCTGTGTTCACGTTGGAGGCCCTAGCCAGGCAGCTCCATTATACAGAAGGTGAGCATTCTGGGTAGAAGCCAAGCATCCATCCATTGAGGGATCCTGTGCACAGCTGGTTGCTACCATGTGTGCAGAATGCTGGACTAGATGGCCCTTTGGTCTGATCCTGCAAAGCGTTTCTTGTGTTTTATGTTCTTATAGTCACACCACTCTTTAAATTGCATTGGGCTAATATTCCCAGTGTCAAAGGACCGGTCTCCTTAACTCTTTATCCCTCTTCATGGCATCTAAGTGCTCCTCTGCTTCTCCCCTTCCAATAGCATAATGGAAAATAACATGAACATTAATATCCACATTCCTTTAAAAATTGTGATATTTTAAAAAAGATGTTTCATCGTTTCCCTTTCATCTTTTGCTTCCCTGTTAGAGAAGAGGAAGAAAAGCAACAAGGAAAAAGCACTCACCATCTGGGAGCTGGTGGCATTGCCTTTGTAACCCTTCCACCTGTGTCCATCCAGGCTGTAGAAGATGACAAACTGGGAGATGTACAGGCTAGAGAACTTTTGCCGGGCTCCTTGTGTCTTTATCCCATGGATGATCTTGGGTTGCAACAGGTCCACCTGAATGAGAGGGGAAGTCACTACTACCAGCTGAAGTGCTCTTTGGAAGATGCAATTTGCAACAGAGAAGAGGTACTGAAACTCAAGCCTGAAGGCCAAATCTGGCCCACAGGGGATTTCCGTCTGGCCCTCTGCAATTCCCTCTTTCTCACTTCCCTCTTCCCTCATCCAGCCTCTCACACACTTATTTTCTGCTGCAACTCTGAAAAAGTTGAAAATTGAGGTTGAAAACAGTGGAATATTGGACAAATTAAGCATTTGCCCCTTGGCACGGTCAATTTACTGCACATTGTTCTCAAACCAAATCTCTGAGGGTGTCAAATTTGTGTGGAGTCAGGAGGGATAGAAAGGGGTGTTTTGATGGAATGTAAAGAATGGAGATTACAATACCCGTAACATTTGGTAACTGAAGCAGAGTAACTTTACTCTGCTTTAAAAATCAGCCAGAGGTCTTGCCTACAAATGCTGATGCTACAAATTTATTTTCATAGGGCACAATTGTGCCAAAATGCAGCACATTCACCGGGATCTGAATCATGTCTTTTGGCTCCGGCCTCTTGGCAGAGCAGCAGAGCAGCAGAGGCACAGGCTGGGAGCGAGAGCTGAGTGGCCAGGGGACTGGCGAAGGCAAGGCAGGAGCTGGGCAGGGGAGCAGAGGGCCAGGAGCAGTGGAGAGGAAGGGGATCGTCCCTTGTCTGCATCCCTTGGCTGCGGCCCGGGCTGTCCAGAGACTCCCTTCCCTGAGACACAGAGGTTTGATTGTTTGTTTGTTTTTGTTTGTGCTGTGCTGTGCTTTGCTTTGTTTTTCTTCCAATTTAAGTTTATTTTATCCTTGTGTGTGTGTGCGAGTGGGTTTTTGTCTGGGAGAACTGGGCAAGTGAGAGGAACTGCAGGACAGACAAGGCAGGGGACCAAGGAAAGGTCTCGGAAGGGATACCGATGGCAGACCAGGAGATGGCCTTGGTGGGAGTCACGGGTGTTGCTGTCCACTGCGAGAGCTGCGACATGTTCGCCCTTCTCCCCCAGGAGAGGCAGGGATACACTTGCCCTCGGTGCAAGATGGTGACCCTGCTAGAGGAGGAGGTGAGGTGCCTGAGGGCCGAGAGGGCTCTCCAGGCCCCCCTAGAGCAGCCCCCTCTGGACAGAGGGTTGAGGGAGAAGCCACGGGAGGAGCAGCTGGTGGGCATGTCATGAGTGGAGCCGGCTGGTGCAGGAGGTCAGACTAGATGGCCCGGGAGACCCCTTCTGACTCGCTCTGTTTCTATGTTTCTATGATTCTATGTCCTAAATGGATTAGGCTTTAAGTTGCTGTAGGACCCTGTTTTGATTGGCTTATAAAAGATGTTCCCTACACTCTTTCCCTCCCAGTCTAAAAGGCTGAAATACATTTCCAAAGGCTTAACCGTGGACTCCAAACTCATCCTCAGGAGAATTCCAACCTTTCGACCCTGGAAAAAGAGGTTCCGGAGGGAATAGAAGAAAGCTATCACAAGGCTTCCATCATCCATGGAGTTAAGGGGATAAAAGAGGCTGTAATCCATAGATGTTTCTTCTGTCATTAAACTGGTGGTCTTAAAGCTGCCACCAGAACCATGTTTTGTGTTTGCTGGAGCATGCTAACGTGTCTACCGCCTCAATGGAATGCATCTTTTTGGACTTCCTCTTTGGCCTGGCAGGGGAAGCAGGAGAACTGGCGAGCCTGTATCCTCTTAGGCTGCCATTACTCACCTGACTGAATTTCTTGCTTACCTAACAGGGAACTTACCTGGATCCATGAGTTTGTTTCTACAGCACTCCAGGCATTGATTGACCCAGACTTGTCCAGCCTGGCCAGGTTAGGGACCCATTGGCCTTGAGCAGAAGAGAGAGAAAGGAAATGAGAAAATAGGCATTTGCAAGGTCTGTTTCTCAGCCATCGGGCTTTTCTGCCTGCCCTGGAAGTGCTCCGTGCACTAAGGAATTTTTAACTATTTTATGTTTGAAATATGGTTTTAATATTTATTTATATTTTTGGTTTTTTTGTAAGCCATCTTGAGATTTTTATAATAATCAGATGGTATATAAGAATTTCAAAACAAACAAAGAATCATGGCTCTTCTTCCATTTTAAAGAAAAAAACAACCCTGGACACTGAAAGCTTTGTGCTCCTTCCCACATCCATACGGGTAGCTTATATTGTACTATATTTCAACATTCAGCCTATTTGTTTTTCTTAATTCCACTTCTGGCTTTCAAAGATGAGAATGTTACAGAACAATAATCGACTTCCTGATTTCAAAGGACAAACCCAAATCAGTCCTAACAGTATTTTATTCATCCCAAGTGCAATTTGTGTGTTTATGCAAGTGTTGCTATGACTAGGTGGCTCGGCACCCCTGTGGTGCTGGGTGTACAAAGAGAGCCTGCATCCTCTATTTTAAGCCATTTTGGGGACAAGCAGGCTGATGGGGGAGCACACTTCGGGATGTCACAGGCATTCAGTCGCTCAGCACCATGGACAGCCACTTCTGCCTCAAGCTGATCGGGCTTTTCCACTCGAGAAAGTGCTGTGCTTGCCAGTCCAGAAAGGCTTCAGCAGACGCATTCTCCCTCCTTTCCTGCAACCGAGGGGCTTTCAGACGTGATGTGCCGCATCCATCATACTGCCTGGGTGGAGATGAGGGTACGACCCATGCTAACGCTTCTGTTTTCGAGGGCTGTTGGGCAAAGCGACCTCTGCAGGCCTCCTCGCTCAGCGAGTCTACCGCCCCACCACCATCTCGCCAGCTGCCCTCTCCCATGATTGCTGCCGCTTTCCTGCTTGACCGGCCGAGCATCAGGAAGCAAGCGGGCAGTGGCATCCGCGGCTGCTCCTCATCCCTGCAGCAGCCTGGGCCAGAGCTAGGGGCTGGCGACAAAGCAGGCTGCAGGGATGAAGAGCACAAGCAAGGCAGGGATGCTTTTGTGAGTGGGCTTCTGGCTGGGATGTGGGTCCCTGGCCAGCACCCCCTGGATGCCAGCCCCCAGTCCAGCACTTCTGGAGAGTCCGAGTTTAGGGAAGGATTGGGGCCACCCAGAGTGCTCCATACAAAGTGGTGCGCTTGCTCCCGTATTGTGCATGATGGCGAGAGACATTGGTGAAGCCAGCAGGGACCACCGATTGTGACCACCGATTGTGCAAAGGGGATGTGCTTGGCGCTTGCCAAAGTGGTGAGAGTGGTGACAAAACAGATGACAGTAATTGAAATAAAATGCTCACATGAACAATGTATTATGTGCACATGTCTTTTCGTAGAAACTGCTTGTCATACATTCGTGGTGTTCTTTCTCTTAGCTTTGTTGGTGTAATCATGAAGTTTAGACATTTTTATTCTTGGGGTCCTTCAGAAATTGACTTAGTCTAGCTTTGATGTTGTTGTGTAATTCATGGAAGAATCACTATGCTGTCTGGGAGTATTTGATAACGAGGGCGAAGGTATGGAGGTTTTGTTTTTGAAAGATGGGTTTTCCATTGCATTCTATGCAGCTAAAATGTCTAGACAGACAGACAGACAGACAGATTTTACAAAAGCACATCTTTCCTACTAAATAAGTGGCAGCTAGAAAGAGCATTAGAAATGAGGCTGACATCAATGCATATACAAAGACTCCAGTCCTTACCAAAATGATTTGAAGCTGTGACCTGGGAGTCTGTAATATATCCAGAAGCAAGGCCCAGAGGAATCTGGCACTCTGAAAGTGTAAGAAAATATAAACATTATTTTAAAACCTGGCATAGTAAAGGATCTAAAATCTTTTCTGAACAGAGGGCTTCAGACTTCCCTTAGGGCAGCTGATGAGAAGTATGAAGCAAGGGAGACCCAGGGCTGGAGATGATGGGAGCTGGAGTCCAAAGCAGTGGATTTGGAGAGCAGAGAACTGGGAAAGGGTGACTGAGGTCTGTGGTGGGGAAAGGATGTTGAGTTATGGGACTCACAAGGAATTGTATCTTAGCTTTTTGTCCTTTTATGTCTCTTCTCGTGTGGCTTCTTACTAATTTAGGTGCTGGCAGGTGTACCTGTGTGTGTTTTTACACTTTCCCCAGGTTTGGTCTGCTAAACTTGCAAAGCCTTAAATCGTTTGGCCAAGTTGCTGGAAGGACCATGCATTTTGCATTTTGCAATTTTTAATTTTGTTTTGCAGAGCCTCTTGGTCAATGGAAAATACAGAACAAATAAATAGAGACAGCCTGCAGACTGAAACCTGACTGCCTCTTATTTTCTCCTTCCATTGCCCCTCCTTGCATCAGGTGGGCATGTCAGCCACTCCCCCACCCTGGCATAGTTATCCAATCAAATGATCCCCTGGCACTTTTTAGGGGCAGAGCCAGAATCAGAAACATAAAGAGAAATCAGCATCAGAACGTTTTTTTCCCCCCATCTGTAGATCAACAGAAGAAGTGCCACTGGTTGGTGCCTGCAGAGAAGCACTGAACCTCTGCCCCAAAACAGAGTGCCAGCCTCAGAAGAAAGGCACACTGAGCTACTCACGCTGGTCATACACGAGGAAGAGGGCGCTCATTCCAGCCTGCTCGTTTTCACTGACCGCACACTCCACCCGCCAGATCCCAGGATGGGATGGCCGCATTTCCACCACCTCAAAGATACCTGTGCCACAGAGAAGAGAAGGTCAGTCAACCAGCTGGATGCTGAATGCTGTCGTGCACGCACGCTCTGACACGATTCCCAGGCATGCATGAGAAGATGGCTGTTTTGGTGGGACTGATAGCTCAGAGTCTGAGGATGATGGGGAGCTGGCTGAACCAGACGAGGCTCCAAGCTCAGACTCTGATAACGAAAATGATGTTGCAACGGACAATGCACCTGCAGCCCCGGTCTCTCAGCACCAGTCTGAGCCTGCTCTGGAAGAAAGTCGCTCAAGGGCACCCAAGGGGCCCAGCCTTCCCACCTGTGGGGATGAAGGAGAAGACAGACAAAAACATCCAGGAGGAGATTTGGAATTGGGTGGTCTCTCGGATGGAGAACGGCAGCCTTCTGAGGAGCTGGACCTGAGGGCCCGTTGCCACAGCTGCAGACTGGCCCAGTTAGGGGCTCAGAGTGCAGCATGTGGGAGCCCCCAGTTCCACAGCACTCCTCCTTCCAGAGACAGGCCCCAAAGGATTCGTAAGCAAAGCTTTGGGTGAAGGGGGGCAGAGAGGGTTCAGCAGCTCTCTTTCTGCATGCTCAGAGGCTTATGTATGCCTAGAGTCTTCTCCGTAGAATAAAGATGCTTAGAAGACGTGCTGGAGAGTCTGTCTTGCTAGGCAGGGAACGCCTGGCTCACGACAAGTGCTATGCAATGGGGATGCAAGAGTTTTGTGCATCCCTGGGGAGAGGCATTAGAGAAGGAGGCCCCTTCTGTGGGGATTGTGGCCCTGCATGAAGACATAGTGCTGCGTTTTCTAAATGGAGACTTCATGTGAGCTTCATCTGCAGAAATCTGAGCTGGAGGAATTTGAGCTGAATCCTGTGACTTGCACCCATTATGTAAACATTATTTGTTCAGGACCATCTCTGCTATCAAACATAATGCTGTGGTTCGCTAACATGAGCTCATCCAATCCACATTTCCAAAACTAATGTGCAACTTGCAAATGGAACCTTGCTTTTAACTCTAGCAGTACCTTTAGTTTGGTTCTCTTTCTGCTTCCTCTGCTGCTACAACTGTGAAAGTGGCTATGAATGCACAATATGCCATTGTATTCCAGACTCGGGTGTGAGCTGGCAAAGCGAGTGCATGTTGTGTGCATCCATTTCCTCCCTTACCAGGGTAGAGGGTGTAGATTCCCAAGCGGTATTCTTGGGCCATTCGAATGGTGAAGACTTGCCCGTGGAAGTGGACCGGGTGGATGTCCTCAGCACCACCAACATTCAGCAGATACCACCGGATCTTCTGGTGCTGACCCATCACCAGCCCTGGCAATGTGTCTCTCACGTAGCCATTCACAGCTAGTGCAAAGGGAGGAAGAAGGAAAATAGAATGGAGAAAACCAAGATTCAAAACCTGAAGGTCTCCTAGGCTGGCATAGCTGCATGGTCCGTGTGAACAGACACTTGAGCAAGGGCTGTTCATGGTAACTTGTGCAGAACACAGAGCAGGGTAGGGAAAATTCTGCCCCTCCAGATATTATTGGCATCCAACTCGCATCAGCACCAGACAGCATGCTTAGTGTTTGGGGTGATGGGAGTTATAGTCCATTAACATCCAAAGAGTCACAGTATAGGAGAACTCTTTCTTCTCCATCACATAATGCCAGAACTTGAGATCACTTTGTGAAATTAACTAGTAAGTATATTAAAGAAAGACAAATGGAAGTACTTCTTCACACTGTGTGTGTTGTACGGATCATTACTGTATGGAACTCTTTGCCACAAGAAGCAGTGTTGGACACTGACGTCAACATCTTCAAAGGGGAGTTGTTCAAGACACAGAAGATATTCGCTATACTCAATTAACAGTGTTAAATAGAATCTCCTGGTTCAGAAGCAGTCAATCACTGATGTCTGGCCAGGACTGGCTGTACCATCAGGCAGATGTGGGAGTGACCGTGGTGGCAGCCTCTGGGAGCCCTGGAGCACCCCAGCTGTCCCAGCAGGACGCGCTCCAACAGAGCAAAGCTCAGGGAGCCAAGGTTCCATTTAGATGCCAGGAAGCATTTCCTGACTGTCAGGACCCTGAGGGTGTGGAATGGGCTCCCACGAGAGGTCGTTGAGACCCCATCGGTATGGATGTTCAAGGATAGGCTGGACATCCACATGGTGGGCATGTCGTGAGCGGAGCTGGCTGGTGCCGGAGGTCAGACTAGATGGCCCAGGAGACCCCTTCTGACTCTCTCTGTTTCTATGTTTCTATGCCTCTTTGTGGAGCAAGATGCAAACCACCCAATCTGTCCCATCAGCAGTGCTATAGCAAGGCTCCGCGGCTGGTCCAGTCGGCTTCTGCAGGTGGACTGGAGGGGTGGGCCCTCTTCGTCCTGCTCCTCAGGCAGCCAAATATCTGGGCCAACCTGTTCCAGATGCAGTGAAGCAGTGACCAAAGAGTCTTGCTCCTTGCTTCCTGAAAGGCATTTGCTGGGGAAAACAGGTTGCCAAACTAGATTGCCATTGGCCTGGCCCACCAGGGCACTTCATTCTGTTCCAGGAGAACCTGCAGACTGAATATGGAGCCTGGGGGTACGAAAAATGGTAGGAGTCAGCTCTATTGCATATATTATTTTCCTTTCGTTCAAGGAGAAGGGCAACAACTGATGCTGGTGGCTGAATCCTCACGGGTACCCCCGGAATGCTAGTCCCATACAACAGCCCTGTTCCTGACTCAGTTTCCACCCGTTTTTGTGCGTACAGTTTCAAATCTGTCTTCACAGTATTAAGTGCAAGTATTAAGTTCCTCCCCTCATCCAGCACCAATTGAAATGGGAGCAGAGAAAAAGAAGATGGGGTGGTGAAAGTAGAAGGGAGGACTTTACCATAGAAAGTATTGCTCGCTTTCACTGCAGGATCGTCTCTCTGGATGTGGCAAGGGAGAGGGCAGTTCTGCTCAAGATTCTCCACAAAGTACCAGCTCTTGGTCTCATCAAAGATGGTGAAAAGCAAGGAAAATTCCTGAACAGACAGCTGCCTTACATAGGCAGTGCTCAGCACGCCAGCCTTGCAGATGATCAGGGGCCCGATAAGGCCAGAGTGCAGGTCTTTCTCCTGAAACAGAAGCAGAAAGAGAGGAAGAGAAAATTGCACTGAGGTACAGGTGGTTTAGTCGTGAAGGCTGCATTAGCAGCCTCGCTAGATTCCTTGCTTGAAGCAAGCTATAGACAATTTCAATCCACCTTGAAAACATGGGTTCCAAAGTTGGCGTGTTGAACTAACCACAGTTTGTTTAAATCCAGGATCACTGGCTATACACAATTCTGATGTCCTCTGGAACTGAAAAAGTAAACTTTGCTGGTGTCCTCACCCTTACCAGACAAGAGGGGTGGAAGGAGCGGGTGAGTGAGTCCTTGATGCTTTGCTCAGTGTCAGGATCTGGGCTGCTTTGCTGAGCAGAACCAGGACAACCACCACAGTATTTGCAGGATTGGTCCCAGGCCCTGCTGGAGCTCTCAGGGTGACAGCTATAAAAAGCAAGCTCTTCCCTCTGGAACAGGTCGCAGCAAGGCAGTTCTTCCTGTGTGCTCCTGTCCCTGCCTCTTGCCTGCCCTGCCTTGCTGTCCCACCTTGGCAGCCTGGCTCTCCTTGCCAGCTGGAGTGCGGTTCAGCCCCCGTGTCTTGCTGCATTTAGTTCCTGCTGTCTCTTGCCTTGTTGCCTCAGTGATGCAGGTTTCCCTGCTCATGGTGGCTCAGCTCCTGCATCTTTGTAGAATCGTATGAGTTGGAAGGGGCCATGAAGGCCATTGGGTCTGACCCCCCGCTGCTCCATCTCTCTGTGAACAACTGCAGACCTACAGGAAGAATAGAGAGCAGGCATCTGCCACCTACCAGGCTAACGGTGGAGAAATAGGCCCATGCTTTGCAGTCGAACTCATTCATGGCAGGAGCCATCGGTGGCAGCACCTTGAAGGAGTAGTTTCGGATATCGTTGGGTTGCACTGGATCCTGACTGGGCTGCTCTCTGGTCCCATTGTTCCCCTTATACGGCAGCAGGTTGGAGTAGAAGGAGTAAGGGCGGGAAGCCATGTTCTTGAAAGTTACCTGGGTGTGATGAGGAACACAAACAAACGTGTATTTTAGAATGAATATTTGGGGAGAAGAAGAAAGAAGATGCAAGGCGCATCCTTTAATTCTTCATGGGGACGTCTCCTTAAGTCTAGAATGGGTCCCTAATGTTTCTGGACTGGTGGGCATGTTTAGAATTTGGATAAGAGTGTCATGGGCACACTCACAAAATGGCTGCCGTGTGGGGGTGGCAGTCACAGATGGCAAACCAGTGGGGCTATAAGAAACTTCTGAAATTCCCAGATTCCCTTGTCCGGTACCTACTTTGTACTCTTTATGGCACCAGGCAAAGAACTTATTTTCCCAGGAATCCTCGCAGGAATTTTAGTTTCAGTCCGTCTTAAATTCTGTGTTGCATTTTAATCTTTCTACTGCTGCTAGGTTTTACTTCAGCTCCCACTTTGCCTTTATACTGTAAACTATTTTAAATTTTATAAAATTTTATAAAATAAATTTTATACTGTATTATATGTTTTAAATATATTAAATACGATGTCTAAAAATATGTTGTGAGCCACCTAGAGGGCTTTGGCTATCAGGAAATATTAAAAAGTAACAATAAACAAAAGCATCTAATCCCACTTTAAGTATGAGAGAGTCCACCCTCCAAATTTTCTCTCCCACATTGCACAAACATGTCTCCTTACCATTATAACATCATCAACTTGGCCTCGGATGTATGGTCCCAAAATGCCCAGGTGTTCATCCAGCTCTCCACGGACCAGTGGCTGAGTAAAAGAGCTGTCTAGGTATCCACGGAAAACTACTTTCTTATACTGCTTGGAGACCTTCCCGTCATTACTGGGATGCCTATAACAAGAATATTGTATTTTTTCAGACCAGTATTTTTTTAAGAGTCAACTAAGATTTCGGTCTATAGCATTTCTCCATCCTGTCTCTCAAAACCTGTTAAACCAGCATCCATCCAGTTACTTCCAGCTGGCTCCTCCTGAGCCTTTCTCAGCCACATTTTCTGCGTGCGCACGCACATACCATGCTGCAATATAGATCCGTATAGAGATCTGGGTTCATCGCATCCGTTCTGCTGCCTGTACTGTGACTGCCTGCTTTTGTGCTTGTGACACACCTGGATTGTGCTGGACCACCTTTGTGTGAGCTGAGATCTGGTGTGCTCTGTCTACATACAGAAGGCAGCAGTGCACCAGAGAAACAAAGCACCTTCTCTCAGCTCCATTCTCTGTCAGGCCCAGGAGGCTTATGGCTAATAAAACGGTGGGATAAAAGTCTAACAAACAAACAAATACTGAAATAATATTGGGCAGGCTGCACATGCAACCTTAGAATTCCTAAAAGTACCTAAGGTACCATTTAAATGCTTAAGGGGATTGTGAGGAATGTAAATTGCAGTCTCAGAAAATCTCCAGCTGAACTCTTCCTCTCTTTCCCCTCTTAGCATTCTCTGCTCTGGGAAGAATTCAGAGGTAAGACACCAGAGGTATCTTATATATGCTCTTTGCTCTAGAGGCAGCCTTCCTCCATCCAATGCTCTCTAGAAGTCTTGAACTACAGTTCCTAGAATTCCTGTCCAGTGCCCAGACTGTCTGGGGCTAATGGGAACTGAAGTCCAAAACATCTGGAGGGTACCATGTGGAAGAAGGCCATTCTGGGCTGCGTTGAGAGGCTAGTTCAATTTTCTGGCCCTGCCCTGCCCTGCCCTGCCCTGCCCTCCCCTCCAGCTCCAGCCAAAGGGGCTGGATAGAACTTACTTGTCCTTTAGGTAGGGTGAAGCAGTCTGGCTCCCATAATCCCACATCACCTCCTCCGCAGCAATGAAGTATTGTCGGACTTTACCACCCAATGTACGGGGATCCTGGTAATCTTCTTCATAGATATCAAATTCTTCTGGGCTCTCCTCAGCTTTGCTGTAGTCGTCATACTCCGGTGTCTCTCTCAGACGCTTGGAGGAGTTTGTTTCTGCTAGTCTGTTGAGGTCTGAGGGTGTCATGGGGACCTCCCCATGAGCCTGGGGTCCCGGGACACTGTTCTCACTTTTGTTGACCCCCTGCATTGCGATTCTAGACTCTCCATCCTTTCCCCCTCTTTCCAATAACGACATTTTATTGCCTGAAGGAGACGCAATACCATCTTCACCCTTAGCTTCTTCCACCGACAGTGCCCTTGTTATAGACGCCTTGGCACGATTGCTCAACATAAAGAAAAGATCACTGTGTAAAGTCTGAGCAGTGCCTTCAACTGTGCCAGGAACCTTCACATTCCTTGCTTCTTTGGCTTCTGTTTCTTGGGACGTGGCCTGCGGTGATCTCAGAGACCTCTTGTCCAGGTGACCACTGCATCCCCGAAGGCCCTTTTGACAGGACTTGAATGCTGTCCCACTGGCTGACTTTTCATGGCTCTGGATGTCTGATTTCAGCTGCAGCTGGTGCTCTCTGTTTCCTACAAATTCTTCTGAACCCGTATCATTTCTTGGCTTAACTAGTTGTGATAATGTTTTACCCCTTTGATGTGAAGTGTTCCCTCTACCTAAGCTCCTTTTGGATGTGGCATCAAATCTGGGCAAAGCTGGATTCACTTTCTCAGAGACATTCTTGCTGTGGCTAGCTTCCTGGACAGCTCCTTGGAGTTGTAAGCCATCTGTTTCTTGACCAGCGTGAAAGAGATTTGTGGAGAGTTGATCATTACTAACCAGGATGTCATTAGTATCGATGGCCTTGACTGTCCCATGCGGGTTGCTGAGCAATCTATCTGAATCCACTGTCTTGTCATTCTGTAGCCGGATGGAGTTGTATTCCTTCAAAAGACCTGGGCTTCCGGGAGCTGTGTCCTGACTGAGTTGCATAACCTTCACTGTCTTGTGATCCTGAAAAGTCCTTCCAAGAGGGATTGTGTCAAGTGTTTCATTATGTGTACCCTTATTGCTGAGAAGGAGGGCTTCTGCTAAAGGCGTAGAGTTGTCTTGGCTTCCCATCATTGTGGAATATGGTGCTACTAGTGAGGGAACACCTGCCGTCTCTGTCTCTGTTCGTAATGATTCTCCGGCTGCAAATGATTCATCCTCTTGGTCAGTTGCTTTCTGAGATAAGTGGCCATTTGACTCTTGTGAAGCTGTGTCATTGTTCTGGGGAGCCAGACCTCCAGTCCCAGGGCTAATTTTCAGTTCTGATGGTCCAGTGCTTTGATTCTCCAATGTGTCCTGAAACAATGGCTCCCTTTCCAAGTCACCTGGGGATGCAGAAGAGCCGCTTGCATTGAAAGAACTTTCACCCACTGGGGGCATTGTTCGCAATGCTCCTTCCTCATTCATTAGCCCAGCAGGCATCAGTGTTACAGCATTCCGTCTTTCAGATCTGGCCGCATCTCCCAGTGAAGTTCTTACAGTCAGTCTGGATTCCAGGTTTCCTGTATTTAGTTCTGATAAATTAGTGTCGAGGTTAAGAGAGGATTTCCCTGCATTCAAGGACTGGTTTTCTGCAAGATCCATCTCACTGAATGACTCCTTTGACTGATTGGTGGCACTGTGGTCAAGAGGTGCTTCCATGTTTTCCAGTGGAGGGACCGATGGAGAAGTCACACCCTCTGTTGCCTTCTGCTGCCCTGGGTTCTCCTGGATCACCCTAGCTTCCTGAACTGACCCAGGCATTCCAAAGACAAACACCTCGTTAACTGGATTGGCTGTGGCCTTGAAGAAATTCTCATTATGAAGCGACCCCTCCTGAGTGAGAGACATGTTCTCCAAGTTTTGTTTCGGTGTAGCTAGAATTTCCTCTTCTGATGCGAAGACATCACTGGGTAAGAACTCAAGCATCTCTCCATCTTGTGGAGGTGAAAAAAGATCATGAAGATATAAAGTTTCCTCGGGAGACAATAATGGGCTTGTAGAGTTCCTTTTGCCATTTTGTTTGGGAGACTGGTTGAGCTGCTCAGAGCTTGGAGTTTCGTTTTCCAAGGGGGAAGTGGCATTGTCCTGCTCTTTCTTTTTGTAGGGCTGCAGGTGCTTCTTAATGGTCCGCAAGCCTCTGGGTTGTAAGGTGTCATATTCAAAAGCATAGTCTGGTATCCTTTCATAATAGTCCTCATCATAGTCATCTCCAATGGCTGATTCCACATCCAGGAGACAGTTGGAAATAGTGATTGTGGCTTTCATTCCTTGTCTTCTGAAGTTAGGATTCAAGCACCCCAGTACCCATACTCCTGTCTCACATGAAGGCAAAAACAGATAAAAGCGGGGGGGGGGGATAAACATTTGCACACAAACATGGGTCACATGAGCAGGAGGTGGGTGCAGCCCCCAGGTGCCAAGAAACTGTTCCATGTCACCTTTACATCATGGTTCTCCAACTTGGTACTCTCCAGAAGTGCTGGACTAAGATTCCCATCATCCCCATCTAGCATGGGGGTGCTAGGAGTTTTTGATGAGTACAAAACCGTACGTGGCATTGAGAAAGTGGATACTGGGACACTTTCCCCCTCCCTCGTAATGCCAGACCCTAATGGAACCGAATCAATGAAGGCGATTGGTGGGCAATTCATGTCAGATCGAAGGACGTACTTCTTCTCGGCGCACATAGGTTCGCTAGGGAATCAGCGCCCACGAGATGTGGAGATGACCACCAATGCAGAGAGCTTACAAGGGGACTAGCCAGATCCTTGGAGAAGGCTGTCCCCAGCTCCTGGCCCATAGCTACCTCCAGGATCAAAGGCAGGGTGTCCACATACACCAGCGGCTGGGGAGCATAGTCAGGAGGAGGCTGTGGCACTTATGCCTTGCTTAGGGTTAGGGTAGTGTGGAGACTGTGTGAACGGGTTGCTGATCCTGCATGGCTCCCCCAATCAGGGCCCATTCCATCCCTCTGACTACATGGACCCTGACCCTTCTGTCAGAGGCAGAGTACCAATGGGCACCAGTGCCTGGGGCACAGGGGCAGGAGAGTGCTATTGCACTCCAATGCTGCTTGTGGATTTCCCCTGGGTAGCTAGTTGTCGGCTGTGTGAACAGGACACGGGACTGGATAGGCTTTGCTCGGTCTACTCGAGCAGGGCTGCAACGTGCTTAGGGCGATACAACCGGAGGGCAGCGGAGTGGGGAAGGCCGATCTGCATGAGCGAGCCGAAACCGCGTTGGTGACTCCAAGCAGGGCAGGGAAAACTTCCACCTGATCCCCTGCAGAGCCATTGACAGTCAGTGCACAGGACACCAGGCTGGACAAACCAAGGGTCTGACTCTGTAAAAGGCAGATCCCTGTCTTCCTAACAGAGACCTCACAGCATCCTTTCCAAACAATAATTCACAGTATTCTCCTGCTGTGATAATGAAATGGAAAATTTGCAATGAAGCAATAGTTCTCAACAAAGCAATAGTTCACAGGATTCTCTTGCTGTGACAATGAAACTGATGTAAACCCATTTAGATTGAGAGGAAGAAGAGAATTCCATAAGCTGCCTTGAGTTCCTTTAAAGGAAAAAAGGCAGGATATACATAAATAAATGTTAGCAATGTAGATCTGGCCTTTATGCACAGCAGTACCGATCTCCCTGCTCTCTGCAAGATGCCTCACATGTTCAGTGTTGAAATGTCATCAGGTGAGGCACACCTCCTGGGCAGATTTCACATGCCCTTAATTGTAGGCAACGCAAAGGGTTGGTTCACACAACCTAGTCATTTGCTAGCAATCACCTTCTCCCAGCATCAGTAGGAACGCGCAGTGGGGGGACGTTCATAACAGCCGCACCCAAAGTGCTGTTTGTGCACCTGGGCAGTTATCAACCTCCTTGCCACTTTTGCCAAGGGGTTCTGTAGCCTTCTGGCATGACCATGGCTTAGCACCTTGTCTGGGTTCAGATGACACACAAAGTCATAGGAGGTTTAATTAACCCCACTACAAGCCATGGCTTCTTGGGGTGCCTTAGATACTACCATACAGGAAGCATGCTGGGTTCAAACAACACACTAAGCCACTAAGTCAGAGAAATTTAATGCCTAAACTTTCTCCATGTCATAGTTTGAAGGCACATAATTAGAAAGCTTGCTGCTGCTAGGCAGGTTTTGATCTGGACACTGCCTGGATGAGAAATGGCCAGGAATACTCGTGAGGAGTGTCCTAGGTGTTGCACTCAAAGCAAAACTTCTAACTAACCTGGATTCTCCATGGACATGAAGACGGTCTCTCCAGAGAGGGGAAAGAGGGTGAGGATCTCTTCAAAGACTGCATTGTGGTTAAAAGTGTTCCCAGAGAAGAAAACAGACAGGATCTCTGTCTGGGCGCCTACGCTCAGGACATACCAATATACCACCTTGTTCTGGCAAAGCTGAAGGTGTAGGTTATCAAAGACATAGCCGTTGATACCTGGAAGAGCAGCAAAATGGGAAAACAGCACTCAGCACACAAGGATCTAGGCCAGACAGTTAAGGGTTTCAGAATAAACAGGTAAGAACGAAAGTTTCCACATTACGAATGAATTCTGTTCCTGAGAAAACGGAAATTTGTCTTTATGTCAAATGTGTTTGTAAGTTGTATCACATTTGGTCTGTCCTCCACCTTCATGGGGGTTATGGGGGCAGGACGCCCATGAAAGTGGAAGAACCACAAATATCTGTACCCCCCACCCCTGCTCAAACCCAGCAGGGCCGCCTCTTTGCAGCAAGGAAATGCCAGAGAGATTTTCCTCTCTTGGATGGGCAGGATTTTGGAGGGCCTCCCTTACTCCCCTTGCACGCAGGTGATGATAATTTCCTGCAGTATTTTTCCTGCCCAAGTAAATGCTCTTGGTTTGAGTGCATTGGATCGCCAAGGCCAAGCTGGGTGTACGTGCAGACCTGTTGTCAAGTTCTTGAGAGTTCTTGGGCAAGATGCTCCCAAGAAACTCTGCCTGATGCCAAGAAACTCTGCCTGATGTTGCTTCTCTGCCTTTTCCTTATCCTGGCCACCTCATGCAGAAAGCACATGAGAAGAAAGGCAGTGGCATTAGCTGCTCCCGGGCCAGAATAAGCTGCAGGTGAACATGCAGGGAGCAATGCTGAAGAAGCTATGGTCCAAGGACCTTCTCCTGGGGCTTGTCCCATGGCAGAAGCCCTTTCATGTGGACCCCAGTGGTGTGACCGGCTCTCACACAGCAGCCGGAGGGGTCCGGTGCTTGCAGGTGGCTATAGTACGGAGGCACCTTCAGAACCCTCCACTCACACAGCACTTGTTCCTCTGGGATTACTCACTGTACATGAGATTGGAGGCGTAGAATCCAGGGTCTTGCGGGTTGGTGTTGGCCGCATCAGTGCAGGATCGTTTGATGTTCTCCTCCAAGTACCAGCTAAGGTTTTCATCAAAGACAGAAAACAGCAGAAACCTTGCATCATCTGACATGATCTGGGAGAAACACAAAGGAAGAGGAGTTGGGGGTAAGTTACCAGTGGAATGGACTGGTTGCTTGAGGAGCACTGGAAATGGAGGTGTGCTGAAAGGAGGAGAATGCGTGTGCCAGAGCTCCACCTTGCCTCCTTGTTCTAGCGTGACAGCTCTCCTTTGCTTTGGTTGTGACTTTCAGCTGTTCCCTGTGTAGAAGCACACACTTTTCTCCCCACAGCATCTAAACATCTGAGTTATGCTAGGGTAGAAAACTATAATCAGCCATTGAAGGGAACTGACAGTTTGAAGGTGTAGGTTTTCAAAGGCATAGCCATTGATTACCTGGAAGAACAGCGAAATGGAAAAACAGCACTCGGTACACATGGAGTTAGGCTTTGTCATCCTTTTGACACCAGCTTAAGTCAGCCCTCCATGCAGAGGCTCTTAAGGAGAGCTAACGTTATCTAATGGCTTGATGGAAGTACCTATATTTGGTGTTTTAAACAGGTCTATTATATATTAAATACTGTTTTGGTTGCTAGACTGTTTAAAACATTTAAACTGTTTTGAACTTATGTATTACAGCAAAAAAGATGGTTGCTTTTACTGCCCTGAGATCCTGTTTGGGAATTCCTGTAAACCACCCAGATTGCTTTGACTAGCAGGCAGTGTAGAAGTTAAAGAAATTAATAAAATCCTTTGGCCACTTGTAAAACCCCAGTGCATGATTGCAAATGGGGTACAAGGCAGTAGCCTGGCAGAAGGGAAGCCTGGGTTTCAACAGTGCTTGGAAGAGGAACTCCCTTCGTGGAGACAACCCTGAGTCCCATCAAAGAAAGATGGGATAAAATCACAGACTCCGAATCACAGTTGGAAGGGGCATCACAGGCCATCTTGTCCAACCACCTCTGCCCACACAATAATGTAGGAAATCCACTACATTGGAGCTTTTCTCTTGCTTGGATTCAAAGGCGTTTGCCTTCTTGTGCCTCTCAGAGCAGGAATTAAGGCTCACATCCACATCTGGCGTGTGATGCTTCACTAGCCTCAGGCTATTGTGAGAACATGCCAGCGCTTTTAACTCAGATTTAAAATTAAAGCAACCTGATTTCCTCTCTGGTCCATGGTCTCTTTGAAGCAGATCAGCAGAGGCCCAATAAGTCCAGAGGCTAAATCCTTCATGGGCTTGATTGAGCTGTAATAGTAGCGAGTCAGGCAGCGGGGATCAGAGTGCGTCGGTCCATCTTCCGGCATTATGGTCCACCTGTACACAAACTGCTTTCCAGGTCGGAGGGGCATGATCTTCAAGTTGAGAGCTGAGAGGAAAGAGGCCATGAGACTAACTGGTAGCTACTTTATCTACCACCCACTTTTGAAAGCTCTAGAAGTGGCCGGTGATTTTGTTCCCGCACCTCAATCACGTTCCACAGCCTCCTAAGCGTAGTGCAAAATTCAAATGCAAGCCAACTGCACCCAAGACCAGAAGGAAAAGAGAGAGGGAGATGGACAGAACATCCTCCACCTATTCCACGATGAACAGTGAGGGAGGACACAGGGGGGCCTGAGAAGAAACCCGCTGTCCCAGTATTTCCGACTGGCACCCTCTAGAAATAGAATAGCTCCATGGCAAACTGGTAAGCACAGATTGCTGTTTTCTGCATCCAGCCTTTCTTACAAGCGAGTCCTAGCCTGAATTCAAGTAAACACCCATACAGTTGTCCTGTCTGAGGAGAAGAGAGGCCAGGTCTATCTAAGGACTTTATCCAATGCACATTTAAGCAGGAAAAGGGTTTCTTGGCTGGCTGTTTCCTCTGCGGCTGAACTCTGCAGGGCCCTAATGGCAGGAAAGTGGGTGGCTCATGCAGAATAGGCCCAGGGATGGCAGAAGAGGCCTCCAGATCCCCCAAAGTTGCTCATAACTAAATCTTGTAATACTAACCCAATGATTTAGCATTATTGGGATGAGTCCACGTGGGTCTTGGGCTTGTGCTCCCTCCCTTTTTCTTTTCTAATACTGTCATAAAGAGTCCCTAGAAAGCCTTTCTTTCCATTTTGGATAAACCACAGTTTATCATTACAACGAACCCTAAATGATGGTAAATCTTAACCAGTGATTAATGGAAACAAACCAGCTTCACAACCCATGATATGAAGTTGGCCTGTTTCACTAACCATGGTTAAAACTAATCATAGTGAAACCAAGGTTGGATATCAAAGCATTCGTCTAAGAATGAAAGATTCCTCCTCATGGCCACAGTAAAGAGAAGGAGGGTGAGACGCATGTGACAGCAGCCACAGTATAGGCTCATTTTGTTGCTTATAAAAATCACACGAAAGCTAGTGATTAGGTGATCAAAGATACCGCTGCTCCCAAACATCTAATCTCTTGTGTGGGCTGTGCACTCCTTAAAGGGTAGCCCAGCTTTGCTACAAGGCAGGGCCTCTGGCCTTCCTACACAAGGGGGCAGCATCAGCCTTCGGAAAGCTAGATGGTGACCTCAAAAAGAGGAAAGAAAGGAAAACCAAGTTGATCAACAGGATGGGATACGATAGACAAAGTTCTGCCAAGACTGGGACTCCACCGAGAGCCCATTGCAGTAGTGAACATGCAAAACCCAGCTTTGTCAGGGAGCGGTGTTTTCTACCTGCCAGGTAGTACAAGCATCTTAAGTATCTTAGGTTTCAGTTTTGAAGAAAATCGTGTTTCTAGTCTTCAGGACACAATGCTGGGCTGGAAGTACCTGCTGAGATCTCAAGCCAGAATGGACATGTGTGTGAATGATAGAGTATTCAAGTAGCATTAAGACCCTGCAGTGACATTCCCCCTTCCCAAATAACAGACACTGAAAACATGATGGGCAATTATGCAAAGATATGCGTGGTTACTTCAATACCCATAATTTTGTAAAGGACAGAGAATGCAAGTTTTCCAGGTATTTGCTCTGGCAAGTTGTGTGTGTGCGTGTGCTCACACATATCTGCTTGTTGTGTATACTGAATCCCGCCCATATCCCTCCCATTGGATTGCTATGCCCTTAGAGGTTCTCCTTCACCATTCTTACGTTTTTTGCTTGCCACTGGGAAAAATGAAGTGACGTTGGTGATGCCATGGGGGTAGATGTTGTACGGTCGACTGGCTAGATTCCTAAATGTAATCTGAAATGACAGTTTCCACATATCAGGGTATTTCCAGCCTTGTAGAGCCCCCAAACCAGCTATAACAATATCTTATCGAAACCAATGCATTGTCCATGGGAGTGGGAAACCAGCAGCTTTACAAATGTTTTATTTATTATTTATTAAAACATTTCTATGCCGCCCCTTGCCAAAGCCTCAGGGCGGCTCACAGCACACAATAAAATACAAAAATAACAATATAAAATTAAACAATATAAAATAAATAACAATATAAAAGAAGTCGCCCTGGCCAGATAAATAAGCAAATATTGTTAACAATTAAAATGACGTTGTATTCCTATCAGCCATGGTCACTGTGGCCAAGGGTCAGGGAGGATGAAAGGGGGAATCCAGCAAACATCTGGAGGATCTTCACTTCCCCACTCCTAACCTAAAATATGGTTTTGGTCAACCCTTCCCAACCTGCTGCTTTCCTAATGTTCTGGACCACAACTCACGTCAGCCCCTGTAGTCAAGAACAGTGACAGGTATAGCCCAAAACCTGTGCAGGTTATCAGGTTGGGGAAGCTGATTTTGGCTGATTGCAAACAAGTTGCAGTGAAACCAAGACCTGTGCATTCTTACTCTCACTTCTCCTGTTCTTCTTCCATGATTGTGAAAGTCTCTGTTTTCAGTTTGGAACAAGCCACAGTTCTGGGTTTCATACAAACTCAGGAAATTGTGTTTTGTCTTCTAACCTACAATAATTAATCCAACCGGGAATAAGTTTGGTTAGAACATACTACGCTTCCTTGAATTCATATGTAACACAGAACTGTGGTTTGTTCTAAGGTGAATGGTGAAGCTTTCACTGTCTTCTTTTCACACATGAAGAAGGAGGACAGCTTGAGACTCCAAAACACAGATAATCTGAGGATCCGGCAAGGACAATTGCAATTCACAACCTTTTTGGGCCTCTTCTTCTGACTTCTATTTCTCATCTTACCTTTAACTCATCACCAGTTTCTCCTTTGAGGACAGGTCCCAGAATTCCCAAGTGATCTGGGTGTGAGGCCTTCCGCTTCCTGAAAGTCGCATCTTCATATTCAACAAACACCACTTTCTTATACTTGGAGCCAATCCGGTGGGGACCACTTTCCAGAAACTGGCTGGTATAAGCTCTGTAGAAAAGGAAAGACAAGAATGGTTCTGGGAGGAGTGGAAATCAGATCTGTGAGGTCACTCTGGCCATCCTTCTGCTCTGCAAGCCATGGATATCTCCATGGAGACATACACCTGCCAGGTAAGCATCCCTCTCATCGCTGATTGCCAGGGAGGACTTTCTTGCATGCAGGCAGGGGCAGCATCTGGCTCCCAAGAGGGAGGTCGAACGAAAGGAAACTGGGGCTCACCCATTCAAGGTTCAGACTCTTGGTGAGATACAGTAAAGTCAGAGGTGAAAGCAGAGTTGGAAGCTGCGGGGAGTCCAATACCGACACGGCAAGGCAGGACTAATGGCAGAAGCAGGAACAGGAGAGAGTCAAGACATGAATGAAGCCACCACAGGACCAGAAGCAGGAACTGCATCAGGAACATGGTTCACATGGCTGTGGCAGAGCTCAGCATATTGGGGAAGCTTTATATAGATGCTCCTGTGGCTCCCAGCTGGGCTACATGATTGGGCTGGTCCTAAACCTGCAAGTTCCTGGAGGCCCCAGGCTCATCCTTCTAGAGGAGCAAGATAAACTAGCCCACTTTTGCTATCAGGCCACCAGGGGGAGCTGCATCACTTCGCATATCGTGGCACAGGGGTTCTCACACCTAGCCCAGCCTGGCAGCTGATCTTGAGTAACCCCCTCCCTGGCAAGCCATTTCCCGCCTATCTGATTCATCTGACTGGCCACTGTCCCCTGGTGCCAGAGCCTCCTACATCCTGTCGCAAAGTCAGGGCCCCGGCCTGACAGAACATGACAAGTAGCCAGGGCCATTACCTGTCCAGGTCAGTGGGCCGGATGGGGGCATAGTCCCACTCAACTTCTTCCGCTGCAATGTAATGTTCCCAGATCACAGAATGCCGTTTGCCACGAGAACGGGCCATAATTCTGGATGCGTGGCCTTCCATGTTGAAGACTGTGCTTTCAATGTCATCCTCACTGTAATAATCGTAGCTGTCATCTTCAAAAAGATCTGCCACCCTCATCGTCTTCTGAGGTGGCTCTGGACAGATTTCCACAGTAAGTGAAGCTTCCATGCCAGCTGGAAGCAAGAGGCAGACATGGTTGTTTTTCTCCAAGAATTATTCTGCTTAATTTTATTGACAATGCTCTCTGCTATGGACTTTATGAAGTTTCTTGCATTACACACAGGTTCTAACCTTCCTGGGAGATGGGGAGGGTGAGGTAGTAGAGCCTCTTCAGTCAAGGAAGTAGACTTGTTCTCACAACAAAGGCAGCCATTATCTACACTACAGATGAAGCTGAACCATGGCTCCAAAAACCTATGCTGGCTTTTGGACTCTGGGAGAGCTCACTGCCTTACCTGTTGAACCTTAATAACCTCCTCATTCTTTTCCCGGTGCAGCCCATCCAAGACACCTCTTTGCCACAGCTTAGTTACCTCGCTGGTGTGATGGGATCTGGCAGAACATCTGAAACGTGCCATTGGTACTGGGCATCATCTCCACTGTGAGGAAAGTTGCTGGGGAGATGTCCAGCGTGGCCTGCCGGTGGCCTCTCACTAGGAAAGTGTGGCCCTCAAAGAAAATGGAGTGGACTCCAGCCTTAGTCCCCAGGCCAATGACATACAAGTAGACCGGTCGTTTCTGGCACATCTTGAGACCTGCAAGGGAGGAGTAGGATACTCAAAAGGAGCCTGCCGATGAGAAGGATACGCAAGGATCCTCAGACTATGACTGGCTGGTGCTCCTCAAGCTGCATCTGGCCCTGGAGATGTTTCCTCCGAGACGTTTTGCTGCCTGAGACAGAGGACTGAGGGCACCCCTTCCCTTTCCAAATGAAGAATCCAGCTGGACCAGCAGATGAATCTTGCACTGGCTAGTTTAGGGGTAGCTGCCTAGTTTAGGGGAGCCAGGTCAGGTGGTGTGGCAGACAAAGTGTCTGGCAGGAGTGCCCATTCAGAGTCTCCGTGGAAGCCCAACGGAATGCCAGAGTGGTGGTAAAGAAAAGTATCTTCACATTGTGAGAAATAAGTAATGCCCCATCTTTCAACCTTACATTTCTGTTGTAAATAAGCATTTGGCGAAGTAGGTAGAGTCTTGCATGGCATTAAGCAACACCATCAGAAACACCTTGGCTTCACAACTCAACCAGTTCAAAACGTCCCTCTGCATGTCTATGTCCAGATGGCTTAAACTTCCCTCCGTTCCCAGTCACCCGCTTCTCTTTTCTGGAGTAAAAGAGATGGCACTTACCAGGCAAGGAAGAGAAGGCAAAGCCATTGATGGTGTGTAGCTCAGTCTTTCTGCCCTGGGAGGAGGAATTTCCCAAACCATTGAATTCAGAGTACCAGCTTTTGCCTGATCAGAGACATTGGAAAAGGGGAAAAGAGAGAGAAAGGGTGCTGTGATACTCTTAAATTTTTAAAATTTGCATCAGCACATCAGCTGGCTCAAGACAAAAAACCCTCTCTTTTCCTCTCCTCTTGTCTACTCCAATTAGCTATTCACTAACTGAGTTTCTTAACCCTGACTGGGTCTAAATGGCTTGGTGGATTCCTGTCCAATATTTCACCAATATTTTAAGCATATATCTTATTCAAGACAGCTGAAAGCATCTTTAACAATAAAATCTAAAAGGAGTTCCTTTGCAGACTCATAGAAGAGAGAGCATAATATCAGTGCTGCAGTCTTCAGTGTTGCTTAGACACACAGCAAGCTAATACTGAGCCAGTGTCCTGGTGGCAGAGAACAAGTGATGTGAAACTCCCCAAAGAAGCTACTACATGCTAGGAACCGTTTTATTTTACAGGGCTGCAAAAGCATACACAACCGGTGGGCACACCATACCTTCCTTTTCCCCTCCCTTATCATAGCACTCTTACCTTCGTCAAACACTGAGAAAAGCAGGACAAATTCTTGCAGGATGTTCCTGGGTCCCGTATTCCTCTGCAGGGTCCCTGCAGATATGAAACCTATAGAATCACCAAAAGAATACTGGTGCCCCTCAGGAGGTCTTGTGTACATGTGCATCCCCAGCTCTGCAGTTCAAATGTTCATCCAGCGATGAAATTATCGGACAGCCTCAAATAAGGCACTATTTTTTCATCTCCAGCACATGATCCTGCCACATTTCCGCACAGGGCAGATAATAATATTGGCTGTTTAATGCTCGAGTTGTACAGCAGCCTTCCCCAGATGTGTTGATCTATAACTCGCACAGTTTCAAGCTAGTATGGCCAAAGATTGCATTTCAACACATCTGGAGCACACCAAGTTGGTGAAAGCACCTGTACAAGTCCTGTAATAATGTATGTAAAACATTTAGAATGTTTCAGAAAACAATGCTATACAAATGTTAGGCATATGAATTACTCAGGAAGCAAATGCTGAACTCCAAACAAGATGATGATGATGATGATGATGAAAAATGCACAAAGCTGTTTACAAAAATAGACAATAAAACATGAAAAAGATACAGTACAGAAAAATAATCTAATCTCAGAGATGCATCTCAAACACTTCCCCGGCATGGCATCTTCCATTTGATTTGAGCAACAGCTCCCAGTGCTTGGCAGGCCAAAGTCTTCTATGCTGGAGAAGGTGGACTGAAAGAATGCTTGCAAAGGCTGCTTGCATAACTAACTGAGATCCTGTTTGCATAATTGAGTGAGATACTGGCATGAAGGTTTTCCCAGTTTCAATGTATGGCTGTGAAAGTTGGACCATAAGGAAGGAAGAGCACCGAAGAATTGAGGCCTTTGAATTGTGGAGCTGGAGAAGACTCTTGCGACTCCCTTGGACTGCAAAGAGATCAAATCAGTCAATCTTAAAGGAAATCAACCCTGAGTGCTCTTTAGAAGGCCAGGTACTGAAGATGAAACTCAAATACTTTGGCCACCTAATGAGAAGGAAGGACTCCCTGGAGAAGACCCTGATGCTGGGCACCATTGACGGCAAAAGGAGAAGGAGACAACAGAGGTTGAGGTGGCTAGTAGATGGAGTCTCTGGGGAGGTGGGTGGACTCTGGGGGATGGTGGAGGACAGGAGAGCCTGGAGGAATGTTGTCCATGTGGTCATGATGGGGTCAGGCATGACTTTGTGACTGAACAGAAACAAAAAAACTGGCATGAGATGGTCTCTCTTGTAGCCCATGGGCTTACCTGGCTTACAGACCAGCAGTGCCCCAATCAAGCCAGAGTTGGTGTCTTTGACGCTGTTCACATGTGAGGAATAGGCATAGGTCAAACAGTCGGGGTCAGACCCAGTCGGCCCTTGATCTTGTAAGATCTCCCACACGTAGGTGTGGCTGTGCCCCGGTCTCACTGCATCATCTTCTTTCTCTGGCCAGCTGGTCTCATCACCATAGCCTGCCCCTGAAACCAGAAAACACACCCTCCCTTTAAGCAGCGTCATTGGACCCCAACCAAGGCTGGTGCTTGAGCAAAGTGTCCTCCGTCCACCCTGCTCCATCTGCCCAACTTCTGAATGCTGGACCCAAGCAATAGACAGGAAGTGTGACCTGCTTTTCCACTTCGTATCCTCTAGGTGGCATTCTGGTATAGTAGAACAGCAAATGAGAGAAGCATTTTCTTTCACTTTTACAATTAAATCTCTCACTTCCCCACTTGAAACGGCAATGCTGCTTCTCAACACCATGGAACTACCTGGCAATCTGAATGGACTGAGGAGTGTGCGGCATAAAGATTATTGTAAGATAATCAGATACAACAAATACAATACATGAGTATTTAGAATTCCCATTGTCCATCTTAGAAAACAACTTTGCTCCACCTCTTTTATGGCAATGTTTTACTCAGCTCTGCTTTCCATGCTGAGTTTCTGTACACATAGGACCGTAGTCCAAGGTTAGCGCCTCTGATCAGGACAGAACTGAAAACCATGGGTTAGGGTTCCTCTTTGGGTGGCCTTGACTGTGGAGCTAGGATGGGGAAAGCGCCAACCAACGGAGAGAGGAAGAGTCAGCAGTGATGCTAGAGTGCTAAGCGATGCCCACTGCATCTTCTACCTCCAGAGGCTTCTCTGTCCTTTCTGAGTTTAGCTACAACCCTCAAGTAGCTGGAGGGAAATGGACTTTTCCAGGAACAGTATATTGTTCCCTGTTGAAGAGAACTCCTTTTGGGGTGACTTGACCCCACTGGGCCGTGAAGACCCAGGAGTGTTACCAAAGCCCTTGGTGGAGATATGCATCCATGCAGCTGCTTGCATTTCCAGATTCTCCTTGCAGCATCGTTCAGACTGCTATGAAGCGCTCCTGCTGGCAAAATGAACCACCAGACCTCTGGACGCGATGATGGTTTTGTCCTGCCTGAATGTGTGTGACAAGAGGGGTGTGTGAGAGTGAGTGAGAGAGAGAGAGAGACTCACCTTCTGAAGCTTTCCAGTAGGACACCCCAGTGGCAAGAATGCTGAAGGGATGGGAAGCCAGGTTTTTAAAGGTGACAACCACCTTGTCATAGACTTCTGCTTGGATGGTGGGGCCCAAAATACCTGAGGAAGAGAAGGAGCAATGGAAAAGGACAGGTGGACAGTTCTGGTGCTGGGAAGCAAAGGTATTATTGCTGTGTCCCCCACTCTCCTGGTTCACCAAGTAGCACCTGGGCTTGGTTTCCCTGGGATGAGTGAAACCTGACGACCTATAATATTTCTGTAACATTTGCCTTATTTACAAATGTGTGGCTGGAGCATAAGTATCTAGGCATGCTCCCTGGAAGAACCTTCTGTCACCAGGCAGTAGATGTGCCTTAGAAGGACCTTCAGGATTGGACCCAATGGGAGGAAATTAGAGTCAAGCATATTTGATGCTAACAGGGCCACAAAACAAATTCGATACATGTCTGGGCTTAATGCATTTGGTTTGAGGAACCAATCAAACTGGAGAAGCCCCTGTGGTACCCTGGTCACAAGGCATCTGTGGCTTTGGAGGTTAAAAACAGCATGTTGCCTTCTGCTCAGAAATAGACCAAGAGCCAGTAGAAGGTCTGGCAACTTGCAAGATACGAGTTTAACATCCAGTCCCTGGTTGGTATTTGTGCTCCAGTGTGCTGTGCTAAGTGCAGCTCCCAAACAATCTCCAAAGGCAGCCCCATGTGCAATGCCTTAGAGTAATCTAGCCAAGATGTTCCCAGCATGCAGGTAACTGTAGCCCTGGCTATTTCTGTCCTGGAGACGTTTCAGCTGGCTGATCAGATTAAGCTAAGCTAGTGGAAAGTACCTGTCTTCAACTCAAAAGAAAGTCCTTTCAGCTTACCCATCCAGGCAGGCTTTGGTTTTGTTTGTGTGAACGTCACGTCCGTGTACTCCATATAAACAGCTTTCCTGTACTGAGTGGCTGTGGCTGGGGATGACTCCCTGGGAAAAGAGAAGAACAGCTGTGAATGAAACGGCCGGGATCTACACTGGCCGCATTCACTCTGAATTTCGTGGAACATTGTTTCATTCTTTTACACTCTTCTTTACAAGAAGAATTCCTCAGGCAACCCGAGTAAGTGCTGGCTGTGGAGGCTGGGAGTTGTAACCTAGTGAAGGCTGCTTTCAGGATGAGACCAATGGTTGGTTTGTGTGCTTGCGTTTACAGCCTCGAATCCCGTAACCCGGTTGCTTTTCATTTTTTGCTTGTAAATGCCTTTAGCACTGAGATGAGTTCATTTCACCAGTAGATGCTTTCCAGAAGAGCCCAGACTGTTTTCCTACAATGAAGCACTGCTAAGGGAAACACGTAATTGGACTCTGTTGTTATGGCTTGATCAGCAGTTGTATCTTTGGAGACTTGCTACACATCTAGACAAGGACAAGAGGTGTCAGCCTGCCGGGAATGGACTTGGCAAGCTTGAAACTCTGCAATCTTGTTGCTTTAAGGCGGTTACACAGCTCAGCCAAGGAAATCCGGGAGTTGGGAGCCACTGGAAAAACAGACAATTGAAAGTGTGAATATTGAGTCTAACTCCACATGGCTGTGGAGCGGCACTGGGGACATGGAAATAGCTCTAACTGAGGTGGAGAATCCAGCCCTTTCAAGTTCAGCAACAAATTGGGAATCACATGCTGGAAATGTTCCAGTGGGGTCTGGCATCAGCTACACCATGTTTGTTCCCAAACAACACTGCAGAACACAAGCAAAGGTAATGTCAGCTTAGGATCAAACACTAGAAGATCAAGGGAGAAAAGCCCCCAAGATTTTTGTCCAAAATTCCTCTGCTTCTGAGAATCAGGGTGAGAATCTCCACCTCCTTAAAAAGTCAAGACAGGGGGACATTACAGCTGCCTGGAACATTTGTTCAGGGTCATTAGGCGTCTTTAGTCTGTACAAATTGACGTTGGGAAGCCAAAGAAAACAAGTCCTTCCATTGTATTCAAGTTTCCAACTGAAGCCTGGACCTCCCTGGGTAGGAAACAGAGGTTGTAACTTTTGAGTTCGAGGGCAATGTAGCTCATGCCTCACACCCACCCTAGTGCAGAAGTAGCTGCATTGATGGAGACAGAAGGTATTTCAAAAGGGAATCTACTTCAATCTGCCCACCTGTTAACACAGGAACTAGGTAAATGTGATGCAGAAGTTATCATATACCCTTGTGCTCCAAAAGGGTGACAGGTTGATTCTGATTGCTCCTTGCTGAGGGGATGGGTGGATATCTACATAAGTACTTGCAAGAACTACAGATGGGAATTCCACCTTAGAATCACAGAATAGTAGAGTTGGAAAGGGCCAGAGGGCCATCAGGTCCAACCCCTGCTGAGTGCAAGACTCCAGGTTAAAGCATCCCTCTCAGGGGGCTGTCTAGCTGCATCTTGAACGCCTCCAGTGTGGAACAGCCGACAACCTCTCTGGACAACTGATTCCACTGTATTGTTGCAACGGTCGGGAAGTTCCTCCTGACGTCCAGCCAGAACCTGGCTTGCTGTAACTTGAGCCTGTTATTCCGTGTCCTGCACTCTGAAATGAAGAGATCCTGGTCTTCCCCCTTGGGACAGCCTTTCAAGCACTTGAAGACTGCTATCACATCTCCCCTCAGTCTTCTCTTCTTGTGGTGAACATGCCCAGTTCTTCCCATCTCTGCTCAATGTTTCCTCCAAACTTGTGAAGCTAATGTTCTTCTGTGGCTCAGTCAGAATCTACGTTCAAGCAAGTTATCAGGTAATACAAAAAGCCAGGCAATAAAACAGGCAAATGGTCAAGCACAAAGGCTTCGGCACAGTGTGGGATCAGGAGTCAAGATACGAGCAAAAGTTAAAGCCCCGGGGAGCACTCTAATACAATGCACAGTTCAGAAGCCAAATTGCACACGAGTCCAAGGGTCATTAGCATGAAGGGCTCCTTGCAAAGGAAGGTCCAAGAAACACAGGAACAAGAACACCTTTGTTCTTAATCTGCAAGAACAAAGGTGTTCCAGCGCTGTCTAGGCTAGAACCAAAGGCTTTCGTAGCCACAGCTTCCTGATCCCCACCCAAGGCTTCACTGTGGTGTGTTACAGGCCCTCCGGCAACAGACTCAGGAAGCAGGGCCCCATTCCCTGGAAGTTCTCCTCTGCAATAGGGCACTTCCCCTCAGAGGAGCCCCACTGGTCTGCCACTTGAGGCAACAGTCCTTGGGGGCTTGGTGGTCACCCAACCTCTCCCTCAGGGATGGAGCTGTCTGCCTCCTCCAGGTGCAGACTCAGGCTGACCTCCTCTGAAGGTCCAGCTCTCCCAGGTTTCCTGATATGGGCAATCCTTGCCATGTTTGTTTCTGGGCATTCTAAGTCTTCAGAGGAAGTTTCTTTCAACAGAGGGATGACAGGTGCCATAGTAGAAAAGGGACCCCCCTTCTATTCCAGTGAGATGTCACCTTAGCAGATGTGTTGTCCCCTGGATACTTCTGCCATTGCCATTTCAGAAAAGACATTTCTCCTCTGTTCTCCTTCAGGCCCCGTCTTAGAAGAATCTCCACCTCTGTACTCAGGTGAGTGCTACCTTAGAAGAGGCATTCCCACTTTAATGGTCATACAGGTAGGAATATCTCTTCCATCTAAATACAGCCGATGTTTCCTCTTTAAATGTGCTTGCGCATACATATTGCACAAACGTGATTCATACACAGCTGTAATCAAATGTAATTACTTTGAAGCAGAGATTTGCTGCTTTGACTCATTCTGTGGGATAATATACTTTATTTCATCCTTTTTATTCTTTCTGTTTGTGCCTTTATCATTTCTTACTGCTTTGTTAGCCACAGTGGAAAACAGCATAATATTAAAATTATACAGTATATATTATATCAGGAGACTTATAAATTGTTCAAATTAATCAAATGCATGCAAGTTTATATCACATTCCACAGTAATGATAAGCAAAGACAGAGATGGTGCACCGCTCTTCCTCTTCTTCAACTTCACCAGATGTTGCTCCTATGTTTTGTTATCTATCTCCACTTCCTTGAGAACTAGAAACTTTAAATGTACTTGTATGTCTGTGTGGGTGCATGTGTGCGGCTTTCAAAATTCTGGTTTCTCTTCTCATTGGGATAAGGGAATACACACCATACCCTTCTTACAGGGTCCAGAGCTGAATAATATTTGGAGTCCCATTTAGCTTTGATCCACATTCTACCTATTTTCTCTCCTCTGAGAGTTAGTCAGTCCAGCAGGCAGATACAGAGAATCCTCAGAGACAGTCCTTTCACTATCTTCTATTATTTCTTCAGAGTTTAAAAGGCAACCATAGAGTTGCCAATATTTTTAATTTCTCCTGCATGTTGAACTGTAGTCTACAAATAGAAATATGGTAGGGAAACTGTTTCCCGGCATAGTGGCAGCCTGGGCTTAAGAAGGCAATGTTCACTCATCAGCTGAAACCACATGACAACGTAAGGGATGAGACCAACGAAGCCGAAGTGTTTATTAATGCAGTTTGAGTGGCTATTCAATACAGGTACTGATTGTTACCCAAAAGGGTAGTTTCCACCACAGCCTTCTTCCAACCTGCTGCCCTCCAGATGTTTTGAACCACAAATCCCAGCATGCCTGACCACTGGCCATGCAGGCTGATGGGAGCTGATCCAAAGCACCTGCGAGGCAGTAATTGGTGGAGGAGGATGGATGTCATGAATGGCCTCTGTATGAATCCAGGAGCCGGAGAAGAGTCCAGTGAGAAAGCTAAAGTGATGCAGCCGGGAGAAGGTTGGACTAGACAGTGGCGACAGTGGAGAGCCGGGTTCCAATTCCTGCTCGGCTACAAGGCTTAGCCCTCAGGCCAGTCAACCTGCCTGCTTCACAGGGTTGCTGAAAGGGTCAAGGGGTGAGATGACCTGCAGCTGATTCTGGAGAGGCACTCCTCCACCACCCACCCTTTCTGCCACGAAGTCATAAACCTGAGTGAACACCAGGTCCTTTGAGCCCTGTCTTGTCCTCTCCAGAGAAGTGTAACATGTAGCCCTGCCAAATGTTTCTGTAGGCCCTCTCCCATGCTGTTGAATGTCAGCAAAGCCACTTGCAATTTGCCTTCATGACAACGTGCAAAGACGACAGAGCCCTTCCTGAAAAGTGGAGCCGTGCTCACAGAACCTCCCCAGAAAGGTGACTTCTCTTCCAGACAACATGCGCACCAACTTTTAAAGGAAAAATGGCATGCCTTTCTGCCACAGTCGCAACCACCGAATTTCAGCGGCAGAATTGGTCGTATGGCAGCCATTCTGGCAGCAGTGGGTTGGCCTGCAGAGGTTGCTTAGTCTACTTGACCTGGCGGTGACTCTCCAGCGTTCTCTTCAGCAGAAGCTTTCTCATAACCTGATGCAATGCCTTAACCAGAGATGCCCAGAATGGAAGACGGTACTTCTGCATGCAAAATGTCTGCTCTGCCACTAAGCGATGACTCGTTCTGCAGCAACGACTTGACCCCAAGGAGAACTGTCCTCTGGCCATTTTTCCCGCCCCAGGCTTTTATATTCTCTTTCTTTCCCACTTGGCAAAGTGGTCCTTCATCAACCGAAGCTGGCTGGCCCAAGACTGTGAACGACGCAGCGAGAGACCTCTCAGTTGCCAGCCTTTCACTGAAAGCATGTTTCGCTGCCCATTCCAGTCCAGACCTAGGCAGCAGGCTGGGGCCAGGATGAAGCAGGGGGATGGAAGAGGAGCTGGCCAAGCAAACTGACCAACCAGGTGAGGCAAGTGAGCACAACTGGGCCATATGTGGCTCACAAGGGCTTTACTGCACTGGATGCTGGGATTCCTCTGCTGTTCAGCTCCCTCTCTCCCCACCCACCTGTATGTTCCAGATACCCTCCTATGGATGGCGCATTTTTGCTATCGCTGCAGCAAATGAAAATACCTGGATCATTGAGATGTGTCCCTCATGCGTGTGCATTGATGTCCAATGGCAGCGCTGCACTAGGACAAATAACCTCATGTCGGTGGAAACCAAGTCCCAAACAACGCGGAAAGGCATAATCTAACCCAAGCTCTCTTTGCATAACTGCCTGTAGCCCCTTGGGTTTACCAAGCCATCCGCAAGTGCCTCCAGGCCTCCCTGAGCAAAGGGAAAGGGCAGCGCAGCTTCACTAGTGCAGCAACTTCTCCTGCTCACAATATGCTGGATTAGGCCTCTGCGTGTGCGTGCACACACCTGTGCACAGTTATCAGGACTGAAAAAACTGCGCATCCCTAGGTCAGAGTGCAAAGCCGTGAGAGAAAATAGGGGTTACCAGCAGGAAGAGGGTTGCAGCGCTCCATGTGTTTGTTGCACCGTAAATTCAAATGCTGCCCAAATGTGGCTTCACTGGTAAGGCCAGGAAACCACTGCTGGCAAAACAGTGTGATGGTCGGTCGCCATAGGTATACACACACGTCCCGCCCACACCACAAGCACACAGACAGAGACGGACAATCAAACGAAGCCGTGGTGGACAACAGAGAGCTCTCTTTACCCCTTCTGGACGACAGGCACATAGTTCCAATCCGTCTCCACTGCTCCGATGTAATACCTCCTGATGATGCCGACACTCCTTTCAACGAGGCAGCACAGGATGATGGAGACGGGCAAGCGCACCTTCCACATGGTGCACGGGGCACTGGAGGGACCCAGAGGAAGCTCCAGTTCGAGGAGACGCTCAGGAGAAGAGGAGGTGGCGCTTTGCCTGTCCTTTCAGCAGCCCGTCATCCTCAGAGTGAGGGATGCGGAGCAGAGGAGGAGACCAAGGCACAGCCTCTGTGGCAAGCCACCAGCACTCTCCTGATGGGTCACCGGGCAGGGAGTTTATGGCATGCGCTGCAACTCTCTGGGGCGTGCGAGTGAGCGACTGGGTGGAGAGCAACAGGATAGGGGAGGGGGAAAGCCAAAGGAAAAGAGGCCAGGCAGAGGTTAACCTCTTCGCTGCTGCAGGACACTGGCTCCAGGGTGCCGTGGAAAGCGTGTTTCTCCGACCCAGGGTCCGGCAAAGGGGTTGTATTACAACAGCCATCCTCCCCAGGGAGTTGTAGTGTAATACCTCTGGAGGGCACTGAGTCGGCAAGGTCAAGGTTCGGAGCGTAAGAACAGGCTTTCCCAACCAGAGCAAGACACATTTCTGCCATCAATATTTATTTATTCATTATATTTCTACTCCACCTTTTTTTCTTGCAACAAGCCCAAGGCAGCTTATACAATCCTCCGGTCCCTCCTCTCTGCCGTATCTTCACAACAACCCTGTGGAGTAGATTAGGCTGAGAATCAGCAACTGATCCAAAGTCACTCTGTGAGCTTCATGGCCCAAGCGAGGACTAGAATGAGGGTCTTCTGAACCCAGGTGCGACATCAAAGGATTACACCAACAGAGCATCTTTCCATTTCAGGTAGTGGCCAGACAGGTGCCCCAAGAAATCACCTCCCTGGTTTGCTCCAGCATTTGATATCCAGAGGTGTCTTGCCCCTTCTTTTTGGCTTTCATGGCTAACAGCCACTGGTAGATCCCGCCAGTGAACATAGGTGATGAAAGAACATAGGTGATGAATAAGAATATCTTTAATGTATACAGATACACACATGCTTGCCAATTATTTATCTGCTTCACAGAAATTAAAAAATGCAAGGGGAAAAGATTTCCTGTGCCCTTCTGACAGAAAAGACTGATATGAAATTGGAAGGATAAACACATTCCAGAATACAATGGCTTCAGGACCTTTTAGTGCTTTCAAAAGATTAATGGGTAGTCTCTCAACGCCAACTTCAAACGGATACTTTTTTGGATATGTGATCTACTTTTGTTAAAGCTTATGTATGTATTTCAGAGAAATCCACTAACGTGTACTAAAAAATAAAAGTAAAAATTGGGTTGTGCTTAAGCATGGCTGGGAGGGAAACTGGCTGGGCTCGCTGAGGAGTGGCTGGAGAGACCTAGCTGGCTTTGGCCCCACCGGCGGCCTTCTGCGGCCTTGGCGCGCCCTGCGTTGAGCACAGAGGGCAGGGAGGAAGCGGCGGTGGCAGCCACAAGGCGAGGCCAAAGTGCCCCAGCTCGCTCCTTCATGCAGCGGAATGGAAAGCTGGGCTGCAGGGCCGAGGACCCCCTGCTGCTGAAGGAGACGGGGTGCTCGCCATGGCCCACGCAGGACCTCTGCCACCCGGGGCCGGCTCTTCCATGAAGCAGCGTGAGGCGATCGCCACAGGCAGCAAAGGTTGGGAGGCGGGAGCAAGGGCCACGGGCCGCACACCCACTGCCTGCGGCCGAAGCTGCTAGCTGCTTCGCATGTGCTGCAGAGCGCTGTCCCATCGTCCACACTGAAGGAAGGCCCAACCGCCAGTCCAGGTGGCTTTTGTGCATGGAGTGAGAGGGGGTGGCATTTGCATCAGTCAGCAAAATTTCTCTTGGACTAGCCCTCCCAATTTTTTTCTTGGAATAGCTCTCTCATCCATCCACCCAGCCTCCCTCCCTTTCATCCAGATACTCCCCAGAAGCCAGAGCTCAGCTTTGCTTCCCACTCAGGAGTTCTTCCGACCTACATCTTGCCTTCAGCTCCTAAGGGCCCCTCTGTCCAAGCATAAGTCCAGGACAAGGTAGGTGTAATTGCTACACATTCCTATTTTTGAGCATCTCTGTAACATGGACGTCCCACTGGAAAACTGTGGAAGATTAATCTCCCCAGTCTATGAACACATGCATACACGCCCAGCTCACCCAAGAAGGCACACTAAATCACCCGCACCCTGCTTTATAGGAAGCTGACATGGCACGGCTCTAAGCCCCAACGCGAGGTCACCCAGGAAGCTCCACGGCTCAGCAGGGGATTGTAACCCATTTCCCAACAGTGGCATTTTGTCAGCAAAACAAATGTGCCAACACCACCCCGGGGCTCATGCCAAAGAAGCCAAACCGAAGTCGTGCAGCCCATGAAATGCCACCTGGAGAAGTGGGGAGCCCCCAAAAATACTTTAAAGAAAGAAGCAGCCCATTTTATTCCTCACTGGTTTAGCCAAGGATGCTCCCTGCTCCATGTAAAGCTGAATGAGAAAACACAAAGTCTCCGCAGCAGCACAAAGGGGTTGCATTGAGCAGCATCTGAGCCACGTGAGCTGGCAGTCCGTTCCAGCAGCTGGCAACGGGTGGCACGAGCAGGACCGAACTCCTGGTAAGGGGAAGTGGAAGGTCATTAATCGTCTACCTGATCTGATGGGAGCCCCTCCCTGTCTGTTCTGGTGGGTCAAAAGAGGTCGCATTTGCGCCACTTGGGACCTCATGAGCCGGTCAGCAGATCAGGGCCTGCAGAGGGAGCAAGGAGGGCATCCTCTTCCAGACCGCCAGATCAGCATCCTGAGCCCTTTCACAAGCCATTCAGGCTGTTGCTAATTGATGACTTTCTTCTCGTCTTGGTAGAGAAACATCTGTGGTGAAGCTGGAATTAACAGGTTTTCTGAGTCAGTCTTTTGACAAAAACAGAAGCAGCCAAGGAAATTCCCCAAGCGTGCTTGTCACTTTCTTCATGGTCAAAACAACCCCTCTTCCTCCCGGCCAGGAGTTTATGCAAGATGATTCACCAAAATGTTTTATGCAAATTCTCTTGGCATATATATGGTCCTATATTAAAATGACTGTTAAAAACACAGCTCCTTGATTCAAGGTATTATGGAGCTATTCTTAACCACAAGAGATGGGATCTTGTCTTCTATGCAAAAGAAAAAGCCTAGCAGGCAAGTCTCTGTGTACTTGAAGGAGCTATTAATTTTTGTAAAATGTCACTGTGCTCTCCCCACTTTTCTGCTTTCCTCTGAAATGCAAAAATCCCCACCTTCGAAATGTGTTTTCCAATCTCATCTACATTAGCCTGACCATATTTCCATAAGCAGAGTAGCCATATGCCCTACTTTATGGAGGACAGTCCTCTTTTGTGAGGGTGCTGTCTTTTGAAGGGCATCTAATCTAAATCCCATTTAAGGGTTTAGAAAAGCCACAAAGAAGGGAGCGATTTGGGGGCCTAAAGCAGACTGAAAAGGCAGACCCTGGGATCGCAGACTGGCCACAAGGACTGAACTCTATTTACATTCTAGTAGCCATTTCTGATTTTATTTGTATGAATTAACATATGCAAGTTATGCAGATCCATAATATCTTAAAAGAACCCTCTTTTTGTGATGCCTGAGTGGGCCTCCCATTCCCAAAGGGTGGGCAGCCTACCTTGTGTTGGGAACCATACTCTCCTGGGAATAGACTATGGGAAGCCAGGAACAGGTGGGGTGGAAGTTGGTGGCAGGCAATGCCACGCCAAGTGGAGCGGGGCAGTCCTTTCTCTCACTCTTTCCGCCACCCCCTTTTTGCTCCCCTTTTCTTTCTGCCCCTCCCACTCCTTCTCCCTGCTTAGCAGGCAGCTGGGAAGGGAAATAAGGCTCTTGCCAGAGTGCTTTTGAAATTAATCTGAGGGCCACCGGAAAGGGAGGGGTGCCTGCAGCCCTCAGGCTACTGGTTGGCCACCTTGCTATAGATGGGGAAAGGGGAGTGGAGCCCTTGGCCACTATTTTATTATTTTTTTCCTGGCAAGGGTGCTGTGTGCCTTTCTCAGCTCTGTGACTGCGTGAAATTCGGCTTGTACATCTCCGTGCCAGGGGTGGTGAGGAACGGACACAGCACCTGTTAGATTTCTGCCTGTTTGATGTCCATCCCAGAACCCAGGCTGTCATCTCAGCAGCCCGAAGACAAAGCAGGTTGTTCCAGCTCTTTTTGCAGCCCAGCTTCTTAAAGCCCCCAGTGCAAGCAATGCATCGAAGTCCCCAACAGTGACAGCTCCCCAGCATGCCACAGTGGTTGCGGCTGATGGGAAATCAGCCTCTGGGAGGCGACTGATTCCTTGCCCCCAGCAGGTGGGCGCTCTCCATCCCAGGTAGTGCCCTGCTGGCAGCCTTCCCTCCTTTGCTGCCTCCCGGGCACCTTCCTCCATCACAAGATCAGAAAGGGACCTAAGCGGAGCCCAGCTGGGCCAGAGCCAGGTTTTTTTACCCCCATTTACCACATGGGCAGCCAGAGGCCCATGGGAAGCCCACAAGCAGGACGTCAATGCAGCATTACTCTCACTCCCATGTTCCCCAGCAACTGGTAACTCAGAGGCCTGATGTCTCTGGATCTGGATGCAGCATGTCAGGACCAGCGGCATGGAGAGCCTGTACTTCCGTGCATTTGTCCAGTCCCCTTAGTCCAGGTAGTGGCCATCGTCACAGTGGCAGAAGCAAATCCCCACCTGCCTTCATGCTCTGCTCCCTTTTGGCCCTTGCTTCAGATCCCCACTCGGCCACGAGGTGCGCCAAGCAAAGCTCTGCCAGTCCTTTTCAGTCTCACCTAACAACAGGATTGTCGTGACAATAAAACAGGCCACAGAGGAAGAAAGATTACGTTGGCTGAAGTGGCAGGTATGAATGCATCAGCAAATGCACTCTATAGCCCATTGGGCTTTCTGGGTAGTTTAGGATTTAAAACATGTAACAACAATAAAATAATCACATGTAAATAAACAAATAATGAAGCCGATATAACAAAAACGTAACAACAAAGACAACCACCTATATCAGTTAAGGTAAAATTAACGCATGTCATAGCAGCAGATATAAAACAGAATTAAAACAGGTTCGATTTATTAAAATACCTGGCAAATAAAAAGGTTTCCACCTGGCATGGAAATTAAAACAAGGATGACATACCTCCTTAGGGAACATGTTCCAAAGATGGGGTGCAACTCTGAGAACCCACTTTTCCTATTTACCACCCCACTTAATTCTTTTGGGGGTGGTTTCCTGAGAAGGACCATCCTCAGACGATCTTAGGGTCTGGGTAGGAAC